CACACACAGTGACACACAAACACGGTGGAGAAGGTGCAGACACTCAGGTAGGCGATAGTCAGCAGACTCATCATCTGTTACACACACACAGTGACACACACAGTGACACACACAGTGACACACACAGTGACACACACAGTGACACACACAGTGACACACACACAGTGACACACACAGTGACACACACAGTGACACACACAGTGACACACACACAGTGACACACACAGTGACACACACAGTGACACACACAGTGACACACACACAGTGACACACACACAGTGACACACACAGTGACACACACACAGTGACACACACAGTGACACACACAGTGACACACACAGTGACACACACAGTGACACACACAGTGACACACACAGTGACACACACACACAGTGACACACACACTGACACACACACACAGTGACACACACACAGTGACACACACACACAGTGACACACACACAGTGACACACACACACAGTGACACACACAGTGACACACACAGTGACACACACAGTGACACACACACAGTGACACACACAGTGACACACACAGTGACACACACACACAGTGACACACACAGTGACACACACACAGTGACACACACAGTGACACACACACACACCGTCACACACACACAGTGACACACACAGTGACACACACACAGTGACACACACACACACAGTGACACACAGTGACACACACACAGTGACACACACAGTGACACACACAGTGACACACACACACAGTGACACACACACAGTGACACACACAGTGACTCACACAGTGACTCACACAGTGACACACACAGTGACACACACACACACAGTGACACACACACAGTGACACACACACACACAGTGACACACACAGTGACACACACACACACAGTGACACACACACACAGTGACACACACAGAGACACACACACAGTGACACACACAGAGACACACACACACAGTGACACACACACAGTGACACACACAGAGACACACACACACAGTGACAAACACACAGTGACACACACAGTGACACACACACAGTGACACACACAGTGACACACACACACAGTCACACACACAGTGACACACACACAGTGACACACACAGTGACACACACACAGTGACACACACACACAGTGACACACACAGTGACACACACACAGTGACACACACAGTGACACACACACACACCGTCACACACACAGTGACACACACAGTGACACACACACACACAGTGACACACACAGTGACACACACACAGTGACACACACACAGTGACACACACAGTGACACACACAGTGACACAAAGATCCCCCATATAGCCTTAACAGACTGTAGGGGCAAGTGCTGTTAGCGAGCTGGTGAGTGAGTTGGTGAGTGAGCGAGTGACTGAATGAGTGAGCTGGTGAGTGAGCTGGTGAGTGACTGACTGAGCTGGTGAGTGAGTTGATGAGCGAGCGAGTGACTGACTGACTGACTGAGTGAATTGATGAGTGAGTGACTGAGTGACTGAGCTGGTGAGTGAGTGAGTGACTGACTGAGTGACTGACTGAGCTGGTGAGTGAGCTGGTGACTGAGTGACTGAGCTGGTGAGTGAGTGAGCTGGTGAGTGAGCTGGTGAGCGAGCTGGTGAGTGAGCTGGTGACTGACTGACTGAGTGACTGAGCTGGTGAGTGAGTTGATGAGTGAGTGACTGACTGACTGACTGAGTGAATTGATGAGTGAGTGACTGAGCTGGTGAGTGAGTTGATGAGTGAGTGAGTGAGTGACTGACTGAGTGACTGACTGACTGACTGAACTGGTGAGTGAGCTGGTGAGCGAGCTGGTGAGTGACTGAGTGACTGACTGACTGACTGAGCTGGTGAGCGAGCTGGTGAGCGAGCTGGTGACTGAGCTGGTGAGTGAGTGAGTGACTGACTGACTGACTGAGCGAGCTGGTGAGTGACTGAGTGAGTGAGTGAGCTGGTGAGTGAGTGAGCTGGTGAGTGAGCTGGTGAGTGACTGAACTGGTGAGCGAGCTGGTGAGCGAGCTGGTGAGTGAGTTGATGAGTGACTGACTGAGCTGGTGAGCGAGCTGGTGAGTGAGCTGGTGAGTGACTGAGTGAGCTGGTGAGCGAGCTGGTGAGTGACTGAGTGAGCTGGTGAGTGAGCTGGTGAGTTGATGACTGAACTGGTGAGTGAGCTGGTGAGTGAGTTGGTGAGTGAGCTGGTGAGCGAGCTGGTGAGTGACTGACTGAGCTGGTGAGTGAGTGACTGACTGAGCTGGTGAGTGAGCGAGCTGGTGAGTGAGTGACTGAACTGGTGAGCGAGCTGGTGAGCGAGCTGGTGAGTGACTGACTGAACTGGTGAGCGAGCTGGTGAGTGAGCTGGTGAGCGAGCTGGTGAGCTGGTGAGCGAGCTGGTGAGCGAGCTGGTGAGTGAGTTGGTGAGCGAGCTGGTGAGTGACTGACTGAACTGGTGAGTGAGTGACTGAGTGAGTGAGTGACTGACTGAACTGGTGAGTGAGCTGGTGAGTGACTGACTGAACTGGTGAGTGAGCTGGTGAGTGAGCTGGTGAGTGAGCTGGTGAGCGAGCTGGTGAGCGAGCTGGTGAGCCGCTCCTCACCTCGATGGCGAGGTAGTTCTCTCTGGCCTCGGCGTGCGAGATGATCAGGGCGAAGACAGAGAGCACGGGCTTGGTGGAGAAGAATGAGCACTCCGTCCACACCACGATGATGGTGGTGGTGAGCACCAGGAGCTGGTGAGCGAGCTGGTGAGCGAGCTGGTGAGCGAGCTGGTGAGTGAGCTGGTGAGTGAGCTGGTGAGTGAGCTGGTGAGTGACTGAGTGAGTGAGTGACTGAGTGAATGAATTGATGAGTCAATGACTGAGTGAGTGACTGACTGAGTGAGTGAGTTGGTGAGTGAGTTGATGAGTGAGTGAGTGAGTGACTGACTGACTGAGTGAATTGATGAGCGAGTGACTGAGCTGGTGAGTGAGCTGGTGAGTGAGTGAGCGAGTGACTGACTGACTGAGTGAATTGATGAGTGAGTGACTGAGCTGGTGAGTGAGCTGGTGAGTGAGCTGGTGAGCTGGTGAGCGAGCTGGTGAGCGAGCTGGTGAGCGAGCTGGTGAGCCTCCCGTCACCTCGATGGCGAGGTAGTTCTCTCTGGCCTCGGCGTGCGAGATGATCAGAGCGAAGACAGAGAGCACGGGCTTGGTGGAGAAGAATGAGCACTCCGTCCACACCACGATGGTGGTGGTGGTGGTGAGCACCAGGAGCTGGTGAGCGAGCTGGTGAGTGAGCTGGTGAGTGAGCTGGTGAGTGAGTTGGTGAGTGAGTGACTGAGTGACTGACTGAGTGACTGAGTGAGTGAGTGACTGAGTGAATGAATTGATGAGTCAATGACTGAGTGAGTGACTGACTGAGTGAGTGAGTTGGTGAGTGAGTTGATGAGTGAGTGAGTGAGTGACTGACTGACTGAGTGAATTGATGAGCGAGTGACTGAGCTGGTGAGTGAGCTGGTGAGTGAGTGAGCGAGTGACTGACTGACTGAGTGAATTGATGAGTGAGTGACTGAGCTGGTGAGTGAGCTGGTGAGTGAGCTGGTGAGTGAGCTGGTGAGTGAGCTGGTGAGTGAGTTGATGAGCGAGCGAGCGAGTGACTGAGTGAATTGATGAGTGAGTGAGTGACTGAGTGACTGACTGAGCTGGTGAGTGAGCTGGTGAGTGACTGACTGAGCTGGTGAGTGAGCTGGTGAGTGACTGACTGAGCTGGTGAGTGAGCTGGTGAGTGACTGACTGAGCTGGTGAGTGAGCTGGTGAGTGACTGACTGAGCTGGTGAGTGAGCTGGTGAGTGAGCGAGTGACTGACTGACTGAGTGAATTGATGAGTGACTGAGTGACTGAACTGGTGAGTGAGTTGATGACTGAGCTGGTGAGTGAGCTGGTGAGCTGGTGAGCGAGCTGGTGAGCCTCCCGTCACCTCGATGGCGAGGTAGTTCTCTCTGGCCTCGGCGTGCGAGATGATCAGAGCGAAGACAGAGAGCACGGGCTTGGTGGAGAAGAATGAGCACTCCGTCCACACCACGATGGTGGTGGTGGTGGTGAGCACCAGGAGCTGGTGAGCGAGCTGGTGAGTGAGCTGGTGAGTGAGCTGGTGAGTGAGTTGGTGAGTGAGTGACTGAGTGACTGACTGAGTGACTGAGTGAGTGAGTGACTGAGTGAATGAATTGATGAGTCAATGACTGAGTGAGTGACTGACTGAGTGAGTGAGTTGGTGAGTGAGTTGATGAGTGAGTGAGTGAGTGACTGACTGACTGAGTGAATTGATGAGCGAGTGACTGAGCTGGTGAGTGAGCTGGTGAGTGAGTGAGCGAGTGACTGACTGACTGAGTGAATTGATGAGTGAGTGACTGAGCTGGTGAGTGAGCTGGTGAGTGAGCTGGTGAGTGAGCTGGTGAGTGAGCTGGTGAGTGAGTTGATGAGCGAGCGAGCGAGTGACTGAGTGAATTGATGAGTGAGTGAGTGACTGAGTGACTGACTGAGCTGGTGAGTGAGCTGGTGAGTGACTGACTGAGCTGGTGAGTGAGCTGGTGAGTGACTGACTGAGCTGGTGAGTGAGCTGGTGAGTGACTGACTGAGCTGGTGAGTGAGCTGGTGAGTGACTGACTGAGCTGGTGAGTGAGCTGGTGAGTGAGCGAGTGACTGACTGACTGAGTGAATTGATGAGTGACTGAGTGACTGAACTGGTGAGTGAGTTGATGACTGAGCTGGTGAGTGAGCTGGTGAGCTGGTGAGCGAGCTGGTGAGCCTCCCGTCACCTCGATGGCGAGGTAGTTCTCTCTGGCCTCGGCGTGCGAGATGATCAGAGCGAAGACAGAGAGCACGGGCTTGGTGGAGAAGAATGAGCACTCCGTCCACACCACGATGGTGGTGGTGGTGGTGAGCACCAGGAGCTGGTGAGCGAGCTGGTGAGCGAGCTGGTGAGTGAGCTGGTGAGTGAGCTGGTGAGTGAGCTGGTGAGTGAGCTGGTGAGTGAGCTGGTGAGTGAGCTGGTGAGTGACTGAGTGAGTGACTGACTGAGTGAGTGAGTTGATGACTGAGCTGGTGAGTGAGCTGGTGAGTGAGCTGGTGAGTGACTGACTGAGCTGGTGAGCGAGCTGGTGAGCGAGCTGGTGAGCCGCTCCTCACCTCGATGGCGAGGTAGTTCTCTCTGGCCTCGGCGTGCGAGATGATCAGAGCGAAGACAGAGAGCACGGGCTTGGTGGAGAAGAATGAGCACTCCGTCCACACCACAATGATGGTGGTGGTGAGCACCAGGAGCTGGTGAGCGAGCTGGTGAGTGACTGAGTGAGTGACTGAGTGACTGAGCTGGTGAGTGAGTTGATGAGTGAGTGAGTGACTGACTGAGTGACTGAGCTGGTGAGTGAGTTGATGAGTGACTGAGTGACTGACTGAACTGGTGAGTGAGTTGATGAGTGAGTGAGTGAGTGACTGAGCTGGTGAGTGAGCTGGTGAGCTGGTGAGTGAGCTGGTGAGTGAGTGACTGAGCTGGTGAGCGAGCTGGTGAGCCGCTCCTCACCTCGATGGCGAGGTAGTTCTCTCTGGCCTCGGCGTGCGAGATGATCAGGGCGAAGACAGAGAGCACGGGCTTGGTGGAGAAGAATGAGCACTCCGTCCACACCACGATGGTGGTGGTGGTGGTGAGCACCAGGAGCTGGTGAGCGAGCTGGTGAGTGAGCTGGTGAGCGAGCTGGTGAGTGAGCTGGTGAGTGAGCTGGTGAGTGAGCTGGTGAGCGAGCTGGTGAGTGAGCTGGTGAGTGAGTTGATGAGTGAGTGAGCGAGTGACTGACTGACTGAGTGAATTGATGAGTGAGTGACTGAGCTGGTGAGTGAGCTGGTGAGTGAGCTGGTGAGTGAGCTGGTGAGTGAGCTGGTGAGTGAGCTGGTGAGTGAGCTGGTGAGCCTCCCGTCACCTCGATGGCGAGGTAGTTCTCTCTGGCCTCGGCGTGCGAGATGATCAGGGCGAAGACAGAGAGCACGGGCTTGGTGGAGAAGAATGAGCACTCCGTCCACACCACGATGGTGGTGGTGGTGGTGAGCACCAGGAGCTGGTGAGTGAGCTGGTGAGCGAGCTGGTGAGCGAGCTGGTGAGAGAGCTGGTGAGTGAGTGAGTGACTGACTGAGTGACTGAGCTGGTGAGTGAGTTGATGAGTGACTGAGTGACTGACTGAACTGGTGAGTGAGTTGATGAGTGAGTGAGTGAGTGACTGAGCTGGTGAGCGAGCTGGTGAGCCTCCCGTCACCTCGATGGCGAGGTAGTTCTCTCTGGCCTCGGCGTGCGAGATGATCAGAGCGAAGACAGAGAGCACGGGCTTGGTGGAGAAGAATGAGCACTCCGTCCACACCACGATGGTGGTGGTGGTGAGCACCAGGAGCTGGTGAGTGAGCTGGTGAGTGAGCTGGTGAGTGAGCTGGTGAGTGAGCTGGTGAGTGAGTGAGTGACTGACTGACTGAGTGACTGAGTGAGTGAGTGACTGAGTGAGTGACTGAGCTGGTGAGTGAGCTGGTGAGTGAGCTGGTGAGCTGGTGAGTGAGCTGGTGAGCGAGCTGGTGAGCTGGTGAGTGAGCTGGTGAGCGAGCTGGTGAGTGAGCTGGTGAGCGAGCTGGTGAGCCGCTCCTCACCTCGATGGCGAGGTAGTTCTCTCTGGCCTCGGCGTGCGAGATGATCAGAGCGAAGACAGAGAGCACGGGCTTGGTGGAGAAGAATGAGCACTCCGTCCACACCACGATGGTGGTGGTGGTGGTGAGCACCAGGAGCTGGTGAGCGAGCTGGTGAGTGAGCTGGTGAGTGAGCTGGTGAGTGAGCTGGTGAGTGAGCTGGTGAGCGAGCTGGTGAGTGAGCTGGTGAGTGAGCTGGTGAGCGAGCTGGTGAGTGAGCTGGTGAGTGAGCTGGTGAGCGAGTTGGTGAGTGACTGAGTGATTGACTGAGCGAGTGAGTGACTGACTGAGTGACTGACTGAGCTGGTGAGTGAGTTGATGAGTGAGTGAGTGAGTGACTGAGCTGGTGAGTGAGCTGGTGAGCGAGCTGGTGAGTGAGCTGGTGAGTGAGTGAGTGACTGACTGAGTGACTGAGCTGGTGAGTGAGTTGATGAGTGACTGAGTGACTGACTGAACTGGTGAGTGAGTTGATGAGTGAGTGAGTGAGTGACTGAGCTGGTGAGTGAGCTGGTGAGCTGGTGAGTGAGCTGGTGAGTGAGCTGGTGAGTGAGCTGGTGAGCTGGTGAGTGAGCTGGTGAGTGAGTTGGTGAGTGAGTGAGTGAGTGACTGACTGACTGAGTGAATTGATGAGTGAGTGACTGAGCTGGTGAGTGAGCTGGTGAGTGAGTTGGTGAGTGAGCTGGTGAGTGAGCTGGTGAGTGAGTGAGTGACTGACTGAGTGACTGAGCTGGTGAGTGAGCTGGTGAGTGAGCTGGTGAGTGAGCTGGTGAGCGAGTTGATGAGTGAGCGAGTGACTGACTGACTGAGTGAATTGATGAGTGAGTGAGTGACTGACTGAGTGACTGACTGAGCTGGTGAGTGAGTTGATGAGTGAGTGAGTGAGTGACTGACTGACTGAGTGAATTGATGAGTGAGTGACTGAGCTGGTGAGTGAGCTGGTGAGTGAGCTGGTGAGCGAGCTGGTGAGTGAGCTGGTGAGTGAGTGAGTGACTGAGCTGGTGAGTGACTGACTGAACTGGTGAGCGAGCTGGTGAGTGAGCTGGTGAGCCTCCCGTCACCTCGATGGCGAGGTAGTTCTCTCTGGCCTCGGCGTGCGAGATGATCAGGGCGAAGACAGAGAGCACGGGCTTGGTGGAGAAGAATGAGCACTCCGTCCACACCACGATGGTGGTGGTGGTGGTGAGCACCAGGAGCTGGTGAGCGAGCTGGTGAGTGACTGAGTGAGTGACTGAGTGACTGAGCTGGTGAGTGAGCTGGTGAGTGAGTGAGTGACTTACTGAGTGACTGAGCTGGTGAGTGAGTTGATGAGTGACTGAGTGACTGACTGAACTGGTGAGTGAGTTGATGAGTGAGTGAGTGAGTGACTGAGCTGGTGAGTGAGCTGGTGAGCTGGTGAGTGAGCTGGTGAGTGAGCTGGTGAGCTGGTGAGCGAGCTGGTGAGCCGCTCCTCACCTCGATGGCGAGGTAGTTCTCTCTGGCCTCGGCGTGCGAGATGATCAGGGCGAAGACAGAGAGCACGGGCTTGGTAGAGAAGAATGAGCACTCCGTCCACACCACGATGGTGGTGGTGGTGAGCACCAGGAGCTGGTGAGCGAGCTGGTGAGTGAGCTGGTGAGTGAGCTGGTGAGTGAGCTGGTGAGTGAGCTGGTGAGTGAGCTGGTGAGTGAGCTGGTGAGTGAGTTGGTGAGTGAGTTGATGAGTGAGTGAGTGACTGACTGAGTGACTGACTGGCCTGGTGAGTGAGTTGGTGAGCTGGTGAGTGAGCTGGTGAGTGAGCTGGTGAGCGAGCTGGTGAGCGAGCTGGTGAGCCGCTCCTCACCTCGATGGCGAGGTAGTTCTCTCTGGCCTCGGCGTGCGAGATGATCAGAGCGAAGACAGAGAGCACGGGCTTGGTGGAGAAGAATGAGCACTCCGTCCACACCACGATGGTGGTGGTGGTGGTGAGCACCAGGAGCTGGTGAGCGAGCTGGTGAGTGAGCTGGTGAGTGAGCTGGTGAGTGAGCTGGTGAGTGAGCTGGTGAGTGAGCTGGTGAGTGAGCTGGTGAGTGACTGAGTGAGTGAGTGACTGAGTGAATGAATTGATGAGTCAATGACTGAGTGAGTGACTGACTGAGTGAGTGAGTTGGTGAGTGAGTTGATGAGTGAGTGAGTGACTGACTGACTGAGTGAATTGATGAGCGAGTGACTGAGTGACTGAGTGACTGAGCTGGTGAGTGAGTTGATGAGTGAGTGGGTGATTGACTGACTGACTGAGTGACTGAGTGATTGACTGAGCGAGTGAGTGACTGACTGAGTGACTGACTGAGCTGGTGAGTGAGTTGATGAGTGAGTGAGCGAGTGACTGACTGACTGAGTGAATTGATGAGTGAGTGACTGAGCTGGTGAGTGAGCTGGTGAGCGAGCTGGTGAGCTGGTGAGTGAGCTGGTGAGTGAGCTGGTGAGCTGGTGAGTGAGCTGGTGAGCCTCCCGTCACCTCGATGGCGAGGTAGTTCTCTCTGGCCTCGGTGTGCGAGATGATCAGGGCGAAGACAGAGAGCACGGGCTTGGTAGAGAAGAATGAGCACTCCGTCCACACCACGATGGTGGTGGTGGTGAGCACCAGGAGCTGGTGAGCGAGCTGGTGAGTGAGCTGGTGAGTGAGTGAGTGACTGACTGAGTGACTGAGCTGGTGAGTGAGTTGATGAGTGACTGAGTGACTGACTGAACTGGTGAGTGAGTTGATGAGTGAGTGAGTGAGTGACTGAGCTGGTGAGTGAGCTGGTGAGTGAGCTGGTGAGTGAGCTGGTGAGTGAGCTGGTGAGCCGCTCCTCACCTCGATGGCGAGGTAGTTCTCTCTGGCCTCGGCGTGCGAGATGATCAGGGCGAAGACAGAGAGCACGGGCTTGGTGGAGAAGAATGAGCACTCCGTCCACACCACGATGGTGGTGGTGGTGGTGGTGAGCACCAGGAGCTGGTGAGCGAGCTGGTGAGTGAGCTGGTGAGCGAGCTGGTGAGTGAGTTGGTGAGTGACTGAGTGATTGACTGAGCGAGTGAGTGACTGACTGAGTGACTGACTGAGCTGGTGAGTGAGTTGATGAGTGAGTGAGTGAGTGACTGAGCTGGTGAGTGAGCTGGTGAGCGAGCTGGTGAGTGAGCTGGTGAGTGAGTGAGTGACTGACTGAGTGACTGAACTGGTGAGTGAGTTGATGAGTGACTGAGTGACTGACTGAACTGGTGAGTGAGTTGATGAGTGAGTGAGTGAGTGACTGAGCTGGTGAGCGAGCTGGTGAGCTGGTGAGTGAGCTGGTGAGTGAGCTGGTGAGTGAGCTGGTGAGCCTCCCGTCACCTCGATGGCGAGGTAGTTCTCTCTGGCCTCGGCGTGCGAGATGATCAGGGCGAAGACAGAGAGCACGGGCTTGGTGGAGAAGAATGAGCACTCCGTCCACACCACGATGGTGGTGGTGGTGGTGAGCACCAGGAGCTGGTGAGTGAGCTGGTGAGTGAGCTGGTGAGTGAGCTGGTGAGTGAGCTGGTGAGTGAGCTGGTGAGTGAGCTGGTGAGTGAGTGACTGACTGAGTGAGTGACTGACTGAGCTGGTGAGTGAGTTGATGAGTGAGTGAGCGAGTGACTGACTGACTGAGTGAATTGATGAGTGAGTGACTGAGCTGGTGAGTGAGCTGGTGAGCGAGCTGGTGAGTGAGTTGATGACTGAGCTGGTGAGTGAGTTGGTGAGCGAGCTGGTGAGCCGCTCCTCACCTCGATGGCGAGGTAGTTCTCTCTGGCCTCGGCGTGCGAGATGATCAGGGCGAAGACAGAGAGCACGGGCTTGGTGGAGAAGAATGAGCACTCCGTCCACACCACGATGGTGGTGGTGGTGAGCACCAGGAGCTGGTGAGTGAGCTGGTGAGTGAGCTGGTGAGCGAGCTGGTGAGTGAGCTGGTGAGTGAGCTGGTGACTGACTGAGTGACTGACTGAGTGAGTGACTGAGCTGGTGAGTGAGTTGATGAGTGAGTGAGTGGCTGACTGACTGAGTGAATTGATGAGTGAGTGAGTGAGTGACTGAGTGACTGACTGAGCTGGTGAGTGAGTTGATGAGTGAGCGAGCGAGTGAGTTGATGAGTGAGTGACTGAGTGAGTGAGTGACTGAGCTGGTGAGTGAGCTGGTGAGTGAGTTGATGAGTGAGCTGGTGAGTGAGCTGGTGAGTGAGTGACTGAGTGACTGACTGAGTGACTGAGTGAGTGAGTGACTGAGTGAATGAATTGATGAGTCAATGACTGAGTGAGTGACTGACTGAGTGAGTGAGTTGGTGAGTGAGTTGATGAGTGAGTGAGTGACTGACTGACTGACTGAGTGAATTGATGAGTGAGTGAGTGAGTGACTGAGTGACTGAGCTGGTGAGTGAGTTGATGAGTGAGTGGGTGATTGACTGACTGACTGAGTGACTGAGTGATTGACTGAGCGAGTGAGTGACTGACTGAGTGACTGACTGAGCTGGTGAGTGAGTTAATGAGTGAGTGAGCGAGTGACTGACTGACTGAGTGAATTGATGAGTGAGTGACTGAGCTGGTGAGCGAGCTGGTGAGCTGGTGAGTGAGCTGGTGAGTGAGCTGGTGAGTGAGCTGGTGAGTGAGCTGGTGAGTGAGCTGGTGAGTGAGCTGGTGAGTGACTGAGTGACTGAGTGAGTGAGTGACTGAGTGAATGAATTGATGAGTGAATGACTGAGTGAGTGACTGACTGACTGACTGAGTGAGCTGGTGAGTGAGCTGGTGAGTGAGCTGGTGAGTGACTGAGTGACTGAGTGAGTGAGTGACTGAGTGAATGAATTGATGAGTGAGTGACTGAGCTGGTGAGTGAGTTGATGAGTGAGTGAGCGAGTGACTGAGTGAATTGATGAGTGAGTGACTGAGCTGGTGCTGAGCTGGTGAGCGAGCTGGTGAGTGACTGACTGAGCTGGTGAGCGAGCTGGTGAGTGACTGACTGAGCTGGTGAGCGAGCTGGTGAGTGAGCTGGTGAGCGAGCTGGTGAGTGACTGACTGAGCTGGTGAGTGAGCTGGTGAGCGAGCTGGTGACTGACTTAGTGACTGACTGAGTGAGTGACTGAGTGACTGAGCTGGTGAGTGAGTTGATGAGTGAGCGAGTGACTGACTGACTGACTGAGTGAATTGATGAGTGAGTGAGTGAGTGACTGAGTGACTGACTGAGCTGGTGAGTGAGTTGATGAGTGAGCGAGCGAGTGAGTTGATGAGTGAGTGACTGAGTGAGTGAGTGAGTGACTGAGCTGGTGAGTGAGCTGGTGAGTGAGTTGATGAGCGATTGAGTGACTGACTGAGCTGGTGAGTGAGCTGGTGAGCTGGTGACTGAGCTGGTGAGTGAGCTGGTGAGCTGGTGACTGAACTGGTGAGCGAGCTGGTGAGTGAGCTGGTGACTGACTGAGTGACTGACTGAGTGAGTGACTGAGTGACTGAGCTGGTGAGTGAGTTGATGAGTGAGTGAGTGACTGACTGACTGAGTGAATTGATGAGTGAGTGAGTGAGTGACTGAGTGACTGACTGAGCTGGTGAGTGAGCTGGTGAGTGACTGACTGAGCTGGTGAGTGAGCTGGTGAGTGACTGACTGAGCTGGTGAGTGAGCTGGTGAGTTGATGACTGAACTGGTGAGTGAGCTGGTGAGCGAGCTGGTGAGCGAGCTGGTGAGTGAGCTGGTGAGTTGATGACTGAACTGGTGAGTGAGCTGGTGAGCGAGCTGGTGAGTGACTGACTGAGCTGGTGAGTGAATTGGTGAGTGAGCTGGTGAGCGAGCTGGTGAGTGACTGACTGAGCTGGTGAGTGAGTGACTGAGTGAGTGAGTGACTGACTGAACTGGTGAGTGAGCTGGTGAGCGAGCTGGTGAGTGAGCTGGTGAGTGACTGACTGAACTGGTGAGTGAGTGAGCTGGTGAGCTGGTGAGTGAGCTGGTGAGTGAGCTTGTGAGCGAGTTGGTGAGCGAGCTGGTGAGTGACTGACTGAGCTGGTGAGTGAGTGAGCGAGCTGGTGAGCGAGTGAGCGAGCTGGTGAGCGAGCTGGTGAGCGAGCGAGCTGGTGAGCGAGCTGGTGAGCGAGCTGGTGAGTGAGTGAGTGACTGAGTGAGTGACTGACTGAACTGGTGAGCGAGCTGGTGAGCGAGCTGGTGAGCGAGCTGGTGAGCGAGCTGGTGAGTGAGCTGGCGAGCGAGCTGGTGAGCGAGCTGGTGAGTGAGCTGGTGAGTGAGCTGGTGAGCGAGCTGGTGAGTGAGTTGGTGAGTGAGTGAGTGAGTGACTGACTGAGCTGGTGAGCGAGCTGGTGAGTGAGCTGGTGAGTGAACTGGTGAGCGAGCTGGTGAGTGACTGACTGAGCTGGTGAGCGAGCTGGTGAGTGAGCTGGTGAGTGACTGACTGAGCTGGTGAGTGAGTTGGTGAGTGAGTTGGTGAGCGAGCTGGTGAGTGAGCTGGTGAGTGAGCTGGTGAGTGAGTTGATGAGTGAGTGACTGAGTGAGTGACTGAGTGAGTGAGTGAGTGACTGAGTGAATGAATTGATGAGTGAATGACTGAGTGAGTGAGTGACTGACTGAGTGAGTGACTGAGCTGGTGAGTGAGTTGATGAGTGAGCGAGCGAGTGACTGACTGACTGAGTGAATTGATGAGTGAGTGACTGACTGACTGAGTGACTGAGTGACTGACTGAGCTGGTGAGTGACTGACTGAGCTGGTGAGTGAGCTGGTGAGTGAGTGACTGAGCTGGTGAGCGAGCTGGTGAGTGAGTGAGTGAGCTGGTGAGTGACTGACTGAGCTGGTGACTGAGCTGGTGAGCGAGTTGGTGAGTGAGCTGGTGAGCGAGCTGGTGAGTGAGTTGATGAGTGAGTGAGTGACTGAGCTGGTGAGCGAGCTGGTGAGTGAGTTGGTGAGCGAGCTGGTGAGTGAGCTGGTGAGTGAGCTGGTGAGTGAGCTGGTGAGTGAGTGAGTGAGTGACTGAGCTGGTGAGCGAGCTGGTGAGTGAGTTGGTGAGCGAGCTGGTGAGTGAGCTGGTGAGTGAGCTGGTGAGCGAGCTGGTGAGTGAGTTGATGAGTGAGTGAGTGAGTGACTGAGCTGGTGAGAGAGCTGGTGAGTGAGTTGGTGAGCGAGCTGGTGAGTGAGCTGGTGAGTGAGCTGGTGAGCGAGCTGGTGAGCGAGTTGGTGAGCGAGCTGGTGAGTGAGCTGGTGAGTGAGCTGGTGAGTGAGCTGGTGAGTGACTGAGTGAGTGAGCTGGTGAGTGACTGAGTGAGTGAGTGACTGAGTGAGTGAGTGAGTTGGTGAGTGAGTGAGTGACTGACTGAGTGACTGACTGAGCTGGTGAGTGAGTTGATGAGTGAGTGAGCGAGTGACTGACTGACTGAGTGAATTGATGAGTGAGTGACTGAGCTGGTGAGTGAGCTGGTGAGTGAGTGAGTGACTGACTGAGCTGGTGAGTGAGCTGGTGAGTGAGCTGGTGAGTGAGCTGGTGAGTGAGCTGGTGAGTGACTGAGCTGGTGAGTGAGTTGATGAGTGAGCGAGCGAGTGACTGACTGACTGAGTGAATTGATGAGTGACTGAGTGACTGAGCGACTGAGCTGGTGAGTGAGTTGATGAGCGAGTGAGTGACTGACTGAGCTGGTGAGTGAGTTGATGAGTGAGTGACTGAGCTGGTGACTGAACTGGTGAGCGAGCTGGTAGGTGAGCTGGTGAGTGAGCTGGTGAGTGAGCTGGTGAGTGACTGAGTGAGTGAGCTGGTGAGTGACTGAGTGAGTGAGTGACTGAGTGAGTGAGTGAGTTGGTGAGTGAGTGAGTGACTGACTGAGTGACTGACTGAGCTGGTGAGTGAGTTGATGAGTGAGTGAGCGACTGACTGACTGAGTGAATTGATGAGTGACTGAGTGACTGAGTGACTGAGCTGGTGAGTGAGTTGATGAGCGAGTGAGTGACTGACTGAGCTGGTGAGCGAGCTGGTGAGTGAGCTGGTGAGTGAGCTGGTGAGCTGGTGAGTGAGCTGGTGAGTGAGCTGGTGAGCCTCCCGTCACCTCGATGGCGAGGTAGTTCTCTCTGGCCTCGGCGTGCGAGATGATCAGGGCGAAGACAGAGAGCACGGGCTTGGTGGAGAAGAATGAGCACTCCGTCCACACCACGATGGTGGTGGTGGTGGTGAGCACCAGGAGCTGGTGAGCGAGCTGGTGAGTGAGCTGGTGAGTGAGCTGGTGAGTGAACTGGTGAGTGAGTGGGTGATTGACTGACTGAGTGAGTGACTGAGTGATTGACTGAGCGATTGACTGACTGAGCTGGTGAGTGAGTTGATGAGTGAGCGAGCGAGTGACTGACTGACTGAGTGAATTGATGAGTTAGTGACTGAGCTGGTGAGTGAGCTGGTGAGTGAGCTGGTGAGCGAGTGAGTGACTGACTGAGCTGGTGAGCGAGCTGGTGAGCGAGCTGGTGAGCGAGCTGGTGAGTGAGCTGGTGAGTGAGCTGGTGAGTGACTGACTGAGCTGGTGAGTGAGCTGGTGAGCGAGCGAGTGACTGACTGACTGAGTGAACTGGTGAGTGAGTTGGTGAGCTGGTGAGTGAGCTGGTGAGTGACTGACTGAGCTGGTGAGTGAGCTGGTGAGCGAGCTGGTGAGTGACTGACTGAACTGGTGAGTGAGCTGGTGAGCCGCTCCTCACCTCGATGGCGAGGTAGTTCTCTCTGGCCTCGGTGTGCGAGATGATCAGGGCGAAGACAGAGAGCACGGGCTTGGTGGAGAAGAATGAGCACTCCGTCCACACCACGATGGTGGTGGTGGTGGTGAGCACCAGGAGCTGGTGAGTGAGCTGGTGAGTGAGCTGGTGAGTGAGCTGGTGAGTGAGCTGGTGAGTGAGTGGGTGATTGACTGACTGAGTGAGTGACTGAGTGATTGACTGAGCGATTGACTGACTGAGCTGGTGAGTGAGTTAATGAGTGAGTGAGCGAGTGACTGACTGACTGAGTGAATTGATGAGTTAGTGACTGAGCTGGTGAGTGAGCTGGTGAGTGAGTTGATGAGCGAGTGAGTGACTGACTGAGCTGGTGAGCGAGCTGGTGAGTGACTGAGCGAGCTGGTGAGCGAGCTGGTGAGCGAGCTGGTGAGTGAGCTGGTGAGTGAGCTGGTGAGTGACTGACTGAGCTGGTGAGTGAGCTGGTGAGCGAGCGAGTGACTGACTGACTGAGTGAACTGGTGAGTGAGTTGGTGAGCTGGTGAGTGAGCTGGTGAGCTGGTGAGTGAGCTGGTGAGTGAGCTGGTGAGCTGGTGAGTGAGCTGGTGAGTGAGCTGGTGAGCGAGCTGGTGAGTGAGCTGGTGAGCCTCCCGTCACCTCGATGGCGAGGTAGTTCTCTCTGGCCTCGGCGTGCGAGATGATCAGAGCGAAGACAGAGAGCACGGGCTTGGTGGAGAAGAATGAGCACTCCGTCCACACCACGATGGTGGTGGTGGTGAGCACCAGGAGCTGGTGAGTGAGCTGGTGAGTGAGCTGGTGAGTGAGCTGGTGAGTGAGCTGGTGAGTGAGCTGGTGAGTGAGCTGGTGAGTGAGTGACTGACTGAGTGACTGACTGAGCTGGTGAGTGAGTTGATGAGTGAGTGAGCGAGTGACTGACTGACTGAGTGAATTGATGAGTGACTGACTGAGCTGGTGAGCGAGCTGGTGAGCTGGTGAGTGAGCTGGTGAGTGAGCTGGTGAGTGAGCTGGTGAGCTGGTGAGCGAGCTGGTGAGCCGCTCCTCACCTCGATGGCGAGGTAGTTCTCTCTGGCCTCGGCGTGCGAGATGATCAGAGCGAAGACAGAGAGCACGGGCTTGGTGGAGAAGAATGAGCACTCCGTCCACACCACGATGGTGGTGGTGGTGGTGAGCACCAGGAGCTGGTGAGTGAGCTGGTGAGTGAGCTGGTGAGTGAGCTGGTGAGTGAGCTGGTGAGTGAGCTGGTGAGTGAGCTGGTGAGTGAGCTGGTGAGTGAGTGGGTGATTGACTGAGTGAGTGAGTGACTGAGTGACTGACTGAGCTGGTGAGTGAGTTGATGAGTGAGTGAGCGAGTGACTGACTGACTGAGTGAATTGATGAGTGAGTGACTGAGCTGGTGAGTGAGCTGGTGAGTGAGCTGGTGAGTGAGCTGGTGAGCTGGTGAGCGAGCTGGTGAGCCTCCCGTCACCTCGATGGCGAGGTAGTTCTCTCTGGCCTCGGCGTGCGAGATGATCAGGGCGAAGACAGAGAGCACGGGCTTGGTGGAGAAGAATGAGCACTCCGTCCACACCACGATGGTGCTGAGCAGCGAGAGCAAGAGGCACGTCAAGCAGCTGAGCCACGGGTGCAGACGACATCGCCACCACCACTCTGCAGCACAACAACAACAACAACAACCATCATCAGCATCATCATCATCACAACAACCATCATCATCACAACAACAACCATCATCATCACAACAACAACAACAACAACCATCATCATCACAACAACAACCATCATCAGCATCATCATCACAACAACAACCATCATCATCAGCATCATCATCGCCACCACCACTCTGCAGCACAACAACAACAACAACCATCATCATCAGCATCATCATCACAACAACAACAACAACAATCATCATCATCATCAACATCATCATCACAACAACAATCATCATCATCACAACAACAACCATCATCATCATCGCCACCACCACTCTGCAGCACAACAACAACAACCATCATCATCATCATCATCACAACAACAACAACCATCATCATCATCACAACAACAACAATCATCATCATCACAACAACAACCATCATCATCAGCATCATCATCATCACAACAACAACAACCATCATCATCATCACAACAACAACAACCATCATCATCACAACAACAACAACAACCATCATCATCACAACAACAACCATCACAACAACAACAACAACAACCATCATCATCACAACAACAACAACAACCATCATCATCATCACAACAACAACAACAACCATCATCATCACAACAACAACAACAACCACCATCATCACAACAACAACAACAACAACCATCATCACCACAACAACAACCATCATCATCAGCATCATCACAACAACAACAACCATCAGCATCAGCATCATCACAACAACAACAACAACCATCATCATCACAACAACAACAACAACCACCATTATCATCATCAGCATCATCATCACAACAACAACAACAACAACCATCATCATCACCACAACAACAACCATCATCATCAGCATTATCATCACAACAACAACAACAACCATCATCATCATCACAACAACAACAACAACCATCATCATCATCAGCATCACAACAACAACCATCATCATCAGAACAACAACAACAACAACCACCATCATCATCACAACAACAACAACCATCATCATCAGCATCATCATCACAACAACAACAACAACCATCATCATCATCATCACAACAACAACAACAACCATCATCATCATCATCACAACAACAACAACAACCATCATCATCATCACAACAACAACAACAACCATCATCATCACAACAACAACAACAACCATCATCACAACAACAACAACCATCATCACCACAAACACAACCATCACCATCATCACCATCACCACCACCACTCTGCAGCACAACAACAACAACAACCATCATCATCATCACAACAACAACAACAACCACCACCACAACAACAACAACCATCATCATCATCACAACAACAACCACCACCACCACCACAACAACAACCATCATCATCATCACAACAACAACAACCATCATCATCAAAACAACCACCACCACAACAACAACAACCATCATCATCATTATCAGCAGCATCATCACAACAACCACAACAACAACCACCACCACCACAACAACAACAACCATCATCATCATCATCACAACAACAACAACCATCATCATCAAAACAACCACCACAACAACAACAACAACCATCATCATCACAACAACCATCATCATCAAAACAACCACCACCACAACAACAACAACCATCATCATTATCAGCAGCATCATCATCACAACAACCACAACAACAACCATCATCATCACAACAACCACAACAACAACCATCATCATCATCATCGCCACCACCACTCTGCAGCACCACCACAACAACAACAACAACAACCACCACCACCACAACAACAACAACCACCACCACAACAACAACCACCACCACAACAACAACCACAACAACCACAACAACCATCATTAGCTCTGTGTGTGTGTCTCTGTGTGTGTCTCTGTGAGTCTCTCTCTGTGTGTGTCTGTGTGAGTCTCTGTGTGTGTCTCTGTGTGTGTCTCTGTGTGTCTCTGTGTGTGTCTGTGTGTGTCTCTGTGTGTCTCTCTGTGTGAGTCTCTCTCTGTGAGTCTCTGTGTGTGTCTCTGTGTGTGTCTCTGTGAGTCTCTGTGTGTGTCTCTGTGTGTCTCTGTGTGTCTCTGTGTGTGTCTCTGTGTGTGTTTCTGTGTGTGTCTCTGTGTGTGTCTCTGTGTGTGTCTCTGTGTGAGTCTCTGTGTGAGTCTCTGTGAGACACAGTGAGTCTCTGTGTGTATCTCTTTGAGTCTCTCTCTCTGTGAGTCTCTGTGAGTCTCTGTGTGAGCCTCTGTGTGTATCTCTGTGAGTCTCTCTGTGTCTCTCTCTGTGCGTGTCTCTGTGTCTCTCTCTGTGTCTCTGTGTATCTCTCTGTGAGTCTCTGTGAGTCTCTGTGTGTGTCTCTCTGTGAGTCTCTCTCTGTGAGTCTCTCTCTGTGAGTCTCTCTGTGTCTCTCTCTGTGAGTCTCTGTGTCTCTCTGTGAGTCTCTCTCTGTGAGTCTCTGTGAGTCTCTCTGTGTGTCTCTGTGAGTCTCTGTGAGTCTCTGTGAGTCTCTCTGTGAGTCTCTGTGTGTGTCTCTGTGTGTGTCTCTGTGTGAGTCTCTCTCTGTGAGTCTCTGTGTGTGTCTCTCTGTGAGTTCTCTCTGTGAGTCTCTGTGTGTGTCTCTGTGTGAGTCTCTCTCTGTGAGTCACTGTGTGTGTCTCTGTGAGTCTCTCTCTGTGTGTGTCTCTGTGTGTGTCTCTGTGTGAGTCTCTGTGTGAGTCTCTGTGTGTGTCTCTGTGTGTGTCTCTGTGTGTGTCTCTGTGTGTGTCTCTGTGTGTGTCTCTGTGTGAGTCTCTGTGTGTGTCTCTGTGTGAGTCTCTGTGTGAGTCTCTGTGTGTGTCTCTGTGTGTGTCTCTGTGTGTGTCTCTGTGTGTGTCTCTGTGTGAGTCTCTGTGTGAGTCTCTGTGTGAGTCTCTGTGTGTGTCTCTGTGTGTGTGTCTGTGTGTGTCTCTGTGTGTGTGTCTGTGTGTGTCTCTGTGTGTGTCTCTGTGTGTGTCTCTGTGTGTGTCTCTGTGAGTCTCTGTGTGTGTCTGTGTGTCTCTGTGTGTCTCTGTGTGTATCTCTCTGTGAGTCTCTGTGTGTCTCTGTGTGTGTCTCTGTGTGTCTCTCTGTGTGGCTCTTTGAGTCTCTGTGTGTGTCTCTCTGTGAGTCTCTCTCTGTGAGTCTCTCTCTGTGTCTCTCTCTCTGTGAGTCTCTCTGTGAGTCTCTCTGTGAGTCTCTCTCTCTCTCTGTGTGAGTCTCTCTCTCTCTCTCTGTGTGTCTCTGTGAGTCTCTCTCTCTCTCTGTGAGTCTCTCTGTGTGTGTCTCTGTGAGTCTCTCTCTCTCTCTCTGTGTGAGTCTCTCTCTCTGTGTGAGTCTCTCTCTCTCTCTGTCTCTCTCTGTGAGTCTCTCTGTGTGTGTCTCTGTGTGTGTCTCTGTGAGTCTCTCTCTCTCTGTGTGTGTCTCTGTGTGTCTCTCTCTCTGTGAGTCTCTGTGTCTCTCTGTGAGTCTCTCTCTGTGAGTCTCTCTCTGTGAGTCTCTCTCTGTGAGTCTCTCTCTGTGAGTCTCTGTGTCTCTCTGTGAGTTCCTGTGAGTCTCTCTCTGTGAGTCTCTGTGTGTGTCTCTGTGTGTCTCTCTCTGTGAGTCTCTCTCTGTGTAAGTCTCTCTCTGTGAGCCTCTCTCTGTGAGTCTCTCTGTGTGTCTCTGTGAGTCTCTGTGAGTCTCTGTGTGTGTCTCTGTGAGTCTCTCTCTGTGTGAGTCTCTCTCTGTGAGTGTGAGTCTCTGTGAGTCTCTCTGTGAGTCTCTCTCTGTGAGTCTCTGTGTGTGTCTCTCTCTGTGTGTCTACGTGTGTGTCTCTGTGTGTGTCTCTCTCTGAGTCTCTGTGTGTGTCTCTGTGTGAGCCTCTCTCTGTGAGTCTCTCTGTGTGTCTCTGTGAGTCTCTGTGAGTCTCTGTGTGTGTCTCTGTGAGTCTCTCTCTGTGTGAGTCTCTCTCTGTGAGTGTGAGTCTCTGTGAGTCTCTCTGTGAGTCTCTCTCTGTGAGTCTCTGTGTGTGTCTCTCTCTGTGAGTCTACGTGTGTGTCTCTGTGTGTGTCTCTCTCTGTGAGTCTCTGTGTGTGTCTCTGTGTGTGTCTCTCTGTGTGTGTCTCTGTGTGTGTCTCTCTCTGTGAGTCTCTCTCTCTCTGTGAGTCTCTCTCTGTGAGTCTCTGTGAGTCTCTCTCTCTCTGTGTGTCTTTGTGAGTCTCTCTCTCTCTCTGTGTGTCTCTCTGAGGCTCTCTCTGTGAGTCAGTCTCTGTGAGTCTCTCTCTCTCTCTGTGTATCTCTGTGAGTCTCTGTGAGTCTCTGTGAGTTTCTGTGACTCTCTCTGTGAGTCTCTCTCTGTGAGTCTCTCTCTGTGAGTCTCTCTCTGTGAGTCTCTCTCTCTCTCTGTGTATCTCTCTGTGAGTCTCTGTGAGTCTCTCTCTCTGTGTGTGTCTCTGTGAGTCTCTGTGAGGCTCTCTCTGTGAGTCTCTCTCTCTCTCTGTGAGTCTCCCTCTCTCTCTCTGTGAGTCTCTCTCTCTCTCTGTGTATCTCTCTGTGTGTCTCTGTGTGAGTCTCCCTCTCTCTGTGAGTCTCTCTCTCTGTGTGAGTATCTCTCTGTGAGTCTCTCTCTGTGTATCTCTCTGTGTCTCTGTGTCTCTCTCTGTGTGAGTCTCTCTCTCTGTGTGTCTCTCTCTCTGTGAGTCTCTCTGTGAGTCTCTCTGTGAGTCTCTCTGTGAGTCTCTCTCTGTGAGTCTCTCTCTGTGAGTCTCTCTCTGTGAGTCTCTCTGTGTCTCTCTCTCTCTCTCTGTGTGTCTCTCTCTGTGTGTCTCTCTCTGTGACTCTGTGAGTCTCTCTCTGTGTGTCTCTCTCTGTGAGTCTCTCTCTGTGAGTCTCTCTCTGTGAGTCTCTCTCTCTCTCTGTGAGTCTCTGTGAGTCTCTCTCTGTGTGCCTCTGTGTATCTCTCTGTGTCTCTCTCTCTGTGTGAGTCTCTCTCTCTGTGAGTCTCTCTCTCTCTCTCTGTGAGTCTCTCTCTCTGTGTGAGTCTCTCTCTGTGAGGCTCTCTCACTCTCTCTCTGTGTGTGTCTCTGTGAGTCTCTCTCTCTCTCTCTGTGTCTCTCTCTGAGTCTGTGTGAGTCTCTCTCTCTCTCTGTGTCTCTCTGTGTGAGTCTCTCTCTCTCTGTGAGTCTCTCTCTGTCTCTGTGAGTCTCTCTCTGTGAGTCTCTGTGAGTCTCTCTCTCTCTGTGTCTCTCTGTGTGAGTCTCTCTCTCTGTGAGTCTCTGTGAGTGTCTCTGTGAGTCTCTCTCTCTGTGACTCTGTGTGTGTCTCTCTCTGTGACTCTGTGTGTGTCTCTCTCTGTGACTCTGTGTGAGTCTCTCTCTGTGACTCTGTGTGAGTCTCTCTCTGTGAGTCTCTGTGAGTCTCTCTCTGTGAGTCTCTGTGTCTCTGTGTGAGCCTCTGTGAGTCTCTGTGAGTCTCTGTGAGTCTCTCTCTCTGTGAGTCTCTCTCTCTCTCTGTGTGTGTCTCTGTGAGTCTCTCTCTCTCTGTGTCTCTCTGTGTCTCTGTGTACCTCTCTCTGTGACTCTGTGTGAGTCTCTCTCTCTCTGTGAGTCTCTGTGAGTCTGTGTGAGTCTCTCTCTGTGAGTCTCTCTCTGTGAGTCTCTGTGTCTCTGTGAGTCTCTCTCTGTGTGTTTCTCTCTGTGTGAGTTTCTGTGAGTCTCTGTGAGTCTCTCTCTCTCTCTGTGAGTCTCTCTCTGTGTGTCTCTCTGTGAGTCTCTCTCTGTGAGTCTCTGTGAGTCTCTCTCTCTGTGTCTCTCTGTGTCTCTGTGTCTCTCTCTCTGTGACTCTGTGTGAGTCTCTCTCTGTGTGAGTCTCTCTCTCTGTGTGTATCTCTCTCTGTGTCCCTGTGAGTCTCTCTCTGTGTGTTTCTCTCTGTGTGAGTCTCTGTGAGTCTCTGTGAGTCTCTCTCTCTCTCTCTGTGAGTCTCTCTCTGTGTGTCTCTCTGTGAGTCTCTCTCTGTGAGTCTCTGTGAGTCTCTCTCTCTGTGTCTCTCTGTGTCTCTGTGTCTCTCTCTCTGTGACTCTGTGTGAGTCTCTCTCTGTGTGAGTCTCTCTCTCTGTGTGAATCTCTCTCTGTGTCTCTGTGAGTCTCTCTCTGTGTGTTTCTCTCTGTGTGAGTCTCTGTGAGTCTCTGTGAGTCTCTCTCTCTCTCTGTGAGTCTCTCTCTGTGTGTCTCTCTGTGAGTCTCTCTCTGTGAGTCTCTGTGAGTCTCTCTCTCTGTGTCTCTCTGTGTCTCTGTGTCTCTCTCTCTGTGACTCTGTGTGAGTCTCTCTCTGTGTGAGTCTCTCTCTCTGTGTGTATCTCTCTCTGTCTCTCTGAGTCTCTCTCTGTGTGTTTCTCTCTGTGTGAGTCTCTGTGAGTCTCTGTGAGTCTCTCTCTCTCTCTCTGTGAGTCTCTCTCTGTGTGTCTCTCTGTGAGTCTCTCTCTGTGAGTCTCTGTGAGTCTCTCTCTCTGTGTCTCTCTGTGTCTCTGTGTCTCTCTCTCTGTGACTCTGTGTGAGTCTCTCTCTGTGTGAGTCTCTCTCTCTGTGTGTATCTCTCTCTGTGTCTCTCTGAGTCTCTCTCTGTGTGTTTCTCTCTGTGTGAGTCTCTGTGAGTCTCTGTGAGTCTCTCACTCTCTCTGTGAGTCTCTCTCTGTGTGTCTCTCTGTGAGTCTCTCTCTGTGAGTCTCTGTGAGTCTCTCTCTCTGTGTCTCTCTGTGTCTCTGTGTCTCTCTCTCTGTGACTCTGTGTGAGTCTCTCTCTGTGTGAGTCTCTCTCTCTGTGTGTCTCTCTCTGTGTCTCTGTGAGTCTCTCTGTGTGTCTCTTTCTCTGTGAGTCTCTCTGTGTGTCTCTCTGTGTGTCTCTCTGTGTGTCTCTCTCTCTCTGTGAGTCTCTCTCTGTGAGTCTCTCTGTGTGTCTCTCTGTGAGTCTCTCTCTCTCTGTGAGTCTCTCTCTGTGAGTCTCTCTCTCTCTCTCTCTGTGTGAGTCTCTCTGTGAGTCTCTCTCTGTGAGTCTCTCTCTGTGAGTCTCTCTGTGTGTCTCTCTGTGTGTCTCTCTCTCTCTGTGAGTCTCTCTCTGTGAGTCTCTCTCTGTGAGTCTCTCTGTGTGTCTCTCTGTGTGTCTCTCTCTCTCTGTGAGTCTCTCTCTGTGAGTCTCTCTCTGTGAGTCTCTCTGTGTGTCTCTCTGTGTGTCTCTCTCTCTCTGTGAGTCTCTCTCTGTGAGTCTCTCTGTGTGTCTCTCTGTGAGTCTCTCTCTCTCTGTGAGTCTCTCTCTCTCTCTGTGAGTCTCTCTCTGTGAGTCTTTCTGTGTGTCTCTCTGTGTGAGTCTCTCTCTCTGTGAGTCTCTCTCTCTCTCTGTGTGTCTCTCTCTGTGAGTCTCTCTCTCTCTCTCTGTGTCTCTCTGAGTCTCTCTCTCTCTCTCTCTGTGAGTCTCTCTCTCTCTCTCTGTGTGAGTCTCTCTGTGTGAGTCTCTCTGTGTGAGTCTCTGTGTCTCTGTGAGTCTCTCTGTGTGAGTCTCTGTGTCTCTGTGAGTCTCTCTGTGTGTGTCTCTCTCTGTGAGTCTCTCTGTGAGTCTCTCTGAGTCTCTCTCTCTCTCTGTGTATCTCTCTCTGTGAGTCTCTCTGTGAGTCTCTCTCTCTCTCTCTGTGAGTCTCTCTGTGTGTGTCTCTCTCTGTGAGTCTCTCTCTGTGTGAGTCTCTGAGTCTCTCTGTGAGTCTCTCTGTGTGTGTCTCTCTCTGTGAGTCTCTCTGTGTGTCTCTCTGTGTGAGTCTCTCTCTCTGTGAGTCTCTCTCTCTCTCTGTGTGCCTCTCTCTGTGAGTCTCTCTCTCTCTCTCTGTGTCTCTCTGAGTCTCTCTCTCTCTCTCTCTGTGAGTCTCTCTCTCTCTCTCTGTGTGAGTCTCTCTGTGTGTGTCTCTCTGTGTGAGTCTCTCTCTGTGAGTCTCTCTCTGTGAGTCTCTCTGTGTGTCTCTCTGTGTGTCTCTCTGTGTGAGTCTCTCTGTGTGAGTCTCTCTGTGAGTCTCTCTGAGTCTCTCTGAGTCTCTCTGTGAGTCTCTCTCTCTCTCTCTCTGTGTCTCTCTGAGTCTCTCTCTCTCTCTCTCTGTGAGTCTCTCTCTCTCTCTCTCTGTGAGTCTCTCTGTGTGAGTCTCTGTGTCTCTCTCTGTGAGTCTCTCTCTGTGAGTCTCTCTCTCTCTCTCTGTGTCTCTCTGAGTCTCTCTCTCTCTCTCTCTGTGAGTCTCTCTGTGTGAGTCTCTGTGTCTCTCTCTGTGAGTCTCTCTCTGTGAGTCTCTCTGAGTCTCTCTCTCTCTCTGTGTATCTCTCTCTGTGAGTCTCTCTGTGAGTCTCTCTCTGTGTCTCTGTGAGTCTCTCTGTGTGAGTCTCTCTCTCTCTCTCTCTGTGAGTCTCTCTCTGTGAGCCTCACCCATGCTGGGTGTGAGCCACACCGCCCGACTCCGCGACGATGACCCCGGAGTGGAGTGGGCGAAGGTTCGGGACGGCGACCCAGAGCAGGTGACAGTGTCCTGAAGCATCAGGGCCTCCTCTAGCAAGGCCTCCCAAGCCAACTCCGTGCGGTGGTGACGCTGGACAGCCTTGATCACCTGGTGGGTGGGTGGGTGGGTGAGTGGGTGGGGGGGTGAGTGGGTGGGTGAGTGGGTGGGGGGGTGGGTGGGTGGGTGAGTGGGTGAGTGGGTGAGTGGGTGGGTGAGTGGGTGGGGGGGTGGGTGGGGTGGGTGGGTGGGTGAGTGGGTGGGTGGGTGGGTGAGTGGGTGGGTGAGTGGGTGGGTGAGTGGGTGGGGGGGGTGGGTAGGTGGGTGGATGAGTGAGTGGGTGGGTGGGTGGGTGGGGGGGTGAGTGAGTGAGTGGGTGGGTGAGTGGGTGGGTGAGTGGGTGGGTGAGTGGGTGAGTGAGTGGGTGGGTGAGTGGGTGGGTGAGTGGGTGGGTGGGTGGGTGAGTGGGTGGGTGAGTGGGTGGGTGAGTGGGTGGGGGGGTGGGTAGGTGGGTGGATGAGTGAGTGGGTGGGTGGGTGGGTGAGTGAGTGGGTGAGTGGGTGGGTGAGTGGGTGAGTGAGTGAGTGGGTGGGTGAGTGAGTGGGTGGGTGGGTGGGTGGGTGAGTGAGTGGGTGGGTGGGTGGGTGGGTGGGTGGGTGAGTGGGTGGGTGAGTGAGTGGGTGGGGGGGTGAGGGGGTGGGTGAGTGGGTGGGTGGGTGAGTGGGTGAGTAGGTGGGTGGGTGGGTGGGTGAGTGAGTGGGTGGGTGAGTGGGTGAGTGAGTGGGTGGGTGAGTGGGTGGGTGGGTGGGTGGGTGAGTGGGTGGGTGAGTGAGTGAGTGAGTGGGTGGGTGGGTGAGTGGGTGAGTGGGTGGGTGGGGGGGTGGGTGAGTGGGTGGGTGGGTGGGTGGGTGGGTGGGTGGGTGAGTGGGTGAGTGGGTGGGTGAGTGGGTGGGGGGGTGGGTGGGTGGGTGCGTGGGTGAGTGGGTGGGTGGGTGAGTGGGTGGGTGAGTGGGTGGGTGAGTGAGTGGGTGAGTAGGTGGGTGGGTGAGTGGGTGGGTGAGTGGGTGGGTGAGTGAGTGGGTGGGTGAGTGAGTGGGTGGGTGAGTGGGTGAGTGGGTGAGTGGGGGGGTGAGTGGGGGGGTGGGTGAGTGGGGGGGTGAGTGAGTGAGTGAGTGGGTGGGTGAGTGGGGGGGTGAGTGAGTGAGTGAGTGGGTGGGTGAGTGGGGGGGTGAGTGGGGGGGTGAGTGGGTGGGTGAGTGAGTGAGTGGGTGAGTGGGTGGGGGGGTGGGTGGGGTGGGTGGGTGGGTGAGTGGGTGAGTGGGTGGGTGAGTGGGGGGGTGAGTGAGTGAGTGAGTGGGTGGGTGAGTGGGTGGGTGGGTGAGTGAGTGGGTGAGTGGGTGAGTGGGTGGGTGAGTGGGTGAGTGGGTGGGTGGGTGAGTGGGTGGGTGAGGGGGTGGGTGGGTGAGTGAGTGGGTGGGTGGGTGGGTGAGTGGGTGAGTGAGTGGGTGATTGAGTGACTGAGTGAGTGAGTGACTGAGTGAGTGACTGAGTGAGTGAGTGAGTGACTGAGTGAGTGAGTGAGTGACTGAGTGAGTGACTGAGTGACTGAGTGTGTGAATGACTGAGTGAGTGAATGACTGAGTGAGTGACTGAGTGAGTGAGTGAGTGGATGAGTGAGTGACTGAGTGAGTGAGTGTCTGAGTGACTGAGTGAGTGACTGAGTGAGTGACTGAGTAAGTGAGTGAGTGACTGAGTGAGTGACTGAGTGAGTGACTGAGTGAGTGAGTGAGTGACTGAGTGAGTGACTGAGTGACTGTGTGAGTGACTGAGTGAGTGACTGAGTGAGTGTCTGAGTGACTGAGTGACTGAGTGAGTGACTGAGTGAGTGACTGAGTGACTGAGCGAGTGACTGAGTGAGTGACTGAGTGACTGAGCGAGTGACTGAGTGAGTGACTGAGTGACTGAGTGACTGAGTGAGTGACTGAGTGACTGAGTGACTGAGTGAGTGAATGAGTGACTGAGTGAGTGACTGAGTGACTGAGTGACTGAGTGAGTGAATGACTGAGTGAGTGACTGAGTGACTGAGTGTGTGAATGACTGAGTGAGTGAGTGACTGAGTGAGTGACTGACTGAGTGAGTGACTGAGTGAGTGACTGAGTGAGTGAGTGACTGAGTGAGTGACTGAGTAAGTGAGTGAGTGACTGAGTGAGTGACTGAGTGAGTGACTGAGTGAGTGAGTCACCTGCTTGTGAGTCTTGGCCAGGCTTTTGAGGCTTGGCAGTGAGGGGCTTTGCCCCTCCATCTCCTCAAAGTCCTCCAGGGAGCGGAACATCGACTCCTGGACGGGAGCTGAAAACTGCATAAGAGTCATCATCATCATCAGTATCATCATCGTCAGTAGTAGTATCATCATCAGTATCATCATCATCATCATCAGTAGTAGTATCATCATCGTCAGTAGTAGTATCATCATCATCAGTAGTATCATCATCATCAGTATCATCATCAGTAGTAGTATCATCATCATCAGTATCATCATCGTCAGTAGTAGTATCATCATCATCATCACCACCACCACCATCACCACCACCATCACCACCACCATCACCACCATCACCATCATCACCACCATCACCACCATCACCACCACCATCACCATCATCACCACCACCATCACCACCATCACCATCATCACCACCACCATCACCACCACCATCACCATCATCACCATCACCACCACCATCACCACCATCACCACCACCATCATCACCATCACCACCATCACCACCATCACCTTGCTGATGATGGTATCCAGGTGTCTACGTAGCGGATGATTGTACTTGATGACTTCACTCAGTTTTTTGATCTCCTGAAAAGTCAACATCATCACCATCATCATCAATAGTAGCGTCATCATCATCATCAGTATCATCATCATCATCAGTAGTAGTATCATCATCATCATCAGTAGTATCATCATCATCAGTAGTTGTATCATGAGTAGTATCATCATCAGTAGTAGTATCATCATCATCAGTAGTAGTATCATCATCAGTAGTAGTATCATCATCATCATCAGTAGCATCATCATCATCAGTAGTATCATCATCAGTAGTAGTATCATCATCATAAGTAATAGCATCATCATCAGTAGTATCATCATCATCAGTAGTAGTAGTAGTAGTATCATCATCATCAGTAGTAGTATCATCATCAGTAGTAGTATCATCATCATCAGTAGCAACATCATCATCAGTATCATCATCATCATCATCAGTAGTATCATCATCATCAGTAGTAGTATCATCATCATCAGTAGCAACATCATCATCAGTATCATCATCATCATCATCAGTAGTATCATCATCATCAGTAGTAGTATCATCATCAGTAGCAACATCATCATCAGTATCATCATCACCATCATCACCACCACTCACCACCACCATCACCACCATCACCACCACCACCACCCTCACCACCACCATCACCACCACCACTACCACCTCACCACCAACTCACCACCACCACCACCACCCCCTCACCCTCACCACCCTCACCATCACCACCACCACCATCACCACCAACTCACCACCACCACCTACACCTCACCACCAATCACCACACCCTCACCACCACCACCACTCACCCTCACCACCACCCTCACCACCACCACCCACTCACCACCACCACCACCACCCTCACTACCACCACCACCCTCACCACCACCACCCACTCACCACCACCACCACCACCCTCACTACCACCACCACCACCCTCACCACACACCTCACCACCAACTCACCACCACCACCACCACCACCCTCACTACCACCCTCACCACCACCACTCCCACCTCACCACCAACTCACCACCCTCACCACCACCCTCACCACCACCACCACTCACCACCACCACCACCCTCACCACCACCCTCACCACTCACCTCCGCCAGATCTTCGAGGTTCTCAGCGGCCTCCGCTCGCTCCCCCGCGAGTCTCGAGCAGTGGAAGAGCGCCTTGGTGAGTGCCCGCTGAGGGTGACCACGTGTCCAGTGAGCACGTGGGAGCTCCACCAGGCCATAGCCCATGAGCAGCACAAGCAGCAACAGGCCCCACGTGTTACTGGCAGTGATGCCAATCACTCGAAGCTGGGAGCTGTGTGGGGGAGGTGAGGCATAGGGGTGGGTGAGTGGATGGGTGAGGGAGTGGGTGGGTGAGTGAGTGGGTGAGTGAGTGAGTGAGTAAGTGGATGAGTGAGTGAGTGAGTGGATGAGTGAGTAGCTGGGTGAGTGGGTGGCTGAGTGAGTGAGTGAGTGGCTGAGTGGATGGGTGAGTGAGTGGCTGAGTGAGTGAGTGGGTGGCTGAGTGAGTGGGTGGTGAGCGTGAGGGGTCAGCGCCCGCTGAGGGTGACCACGTGTCCAGTGAGCACGTGGGAGCTCCACCAGGCCATAGCCCATGAGCAGCACAAGCAGCAACAGGCCCCACGTGTTACTGGCAGTGATGCCAATCACTCGAAGCTGGGAGCTGTGTGGGAGAGGTGAGGCAGAGGGGTGGGTGAGTGGATGGGTGAGGGAGTGGGTGGGTGAGTGAGTGGGTGAGTGAGTGAGTGAGTAAGTGGATGAGTGAGTGAGTGAGTGGATGAGTGAGTAGCTGGGTGAGTGGGTGGCTGAGTGAGTGAGTGAGTGGCTGAGTGGATGGGTGAGTGAGTGGCTGAGTGAGTGAGTGGGTGGCTGAGTGAGTGGGTGGTGAGCGTGAGGGGTCAGCGCCCGCTGAGGGTGACCACGTGTCCAGTGAGCACGTGGGAGCTCCACCAGGCCATAGCCCATGAGCAGCACAAGCAGCAACAGGCCCCACGTGTTACTGGCAGTGATGCCAATCACTCGAAGCTGGGAGCTGCGTGGGGGAGGTGAGGCAGAGGGGTGGGTGGGTGAGTGGGTGAGTGAGTGAGTGGGTGAGTGGGTGAGTAGCTGGGTGAATGAGTGGCTGAGTGGATGTGTGAGTGGCTGAGTGAGTGGGTGGTGAGCGTGAGGGGTCAGCGCCCGCTGAGGGTGACCACGTGTCCAGTGAGCACGTGGGAGCTCCACCAGGCCATAGCCCATGAGCAGCACAAGCAGCAACAGGCCCCACGTGTTACTGGCAGTGATGCCAATCACTCGAAGCTGGGAGCTGTGTGGGGGAAGTGAGGCAGAGGGGTGGGTGGGTGAGTGGGTGAGTGAGTGGGTGGGTGAGTAGCTGGGTGAATGAGTGGCTGAGTGAGTAAGTGGGTGAGTGAGTGAGTGAGTGGGTGAGTGAGTGGGTGAGTGGCTGAGTGAGTGAGTGAGTGGCTGAGTGAGCGAGTGAGTGGATGAGTGAGTAGCTGGGTGAGTGAGTGGATGAGTGAGTAGCTGGGTGAGTGGGTGGCTGAGTGAGTGAGTGAGTGGCTGAGTGGATGGGTGAGTGAGTGGGTGGCTGAGTGAGTGGGTGGTGAGCGTGAGGGGTGAGCGCCCGCTGAGGGTGACCACGTGTCCAGTGAGCACGTGGGAGCTCCACCAGGCCATAGCCCATGAGCAGCACAAGCAGCAACAGGCCCCACGTGTTACTGGCAGTGATGCCAATCACTCGAAGCTGGGAGCTGCGTGGGGGAGGTGAGGCAGAGGGGTGGGTGGGTGGGTGGGTGGATGAGTGGGTGAGTGGGTGAGTAGCTGGGTGGGTGGGTGGGTGAATGGGTGAGTGGGTGGGTGAGTGAGTGAGTGGGTGGGTGAGTGGGTGGGTGGGTGAGTGAGTGAGTGGGTGGGTGAGTGAGTGAGTGGGTGGGTGGGTGGGTGAATGGGTGAGTGGGTGGGTGAGTGAGTGAGTGGGTGGGTGAGTGGGTGGGTGGGTGAGTGAGTGAGTGGGTGGGTGGGTGGCTGAGTGGCTGAGTGTGTAAGTGGGTGGGTGAGTGAGTGGGTGGGTGAGTGAGTGAGTGGCTGAGTGTGTAAGTGGCTGAGTGGGTGAGTGAGTGAGTGGGTGGGTGAGTGAGTGAGTGGGTAGGTTGGTGGGTGACTAACTGACTGACTAACTAACTAACTAACTGGACTGGACTGACATTCTGCGGTGCCTCAGACATCACCGGGAAGCATCCGGAGCTCGCGAACGAACGACCGACCGACCGACCTCACCCCCACGCCCAGCTCCTCCTCACTCCACGCCCCGCTCCTCCTCACCCGGTGAGGTGCAGGCTTGGGTGAGCAATGGCGTAGAGCAGGAGGGACAGAAAGATGAGTAGATAGGAGCCGTAGTAAATGGCATTCTCTACCAGAGCTGTGCGGACTTTGCCACTGACGGTGAAGTCACCAGCAGCTGCATAAGACTGCATGAAGGGTAGAAGGAGCCTAGGGGGGGGTAGTGGGTGGGTGGGTGGGTTGGTGGGTGGGTGGGTGGGTGGGTGGGTGGGTGGGGGTGGGGGGGGGGGGTTGTTGGGGGGGTGGTGGTGTGGGGTGGGTGGGTGGGTGGGTGGGTGAGTGAGTGGGTGAGTGAGTGAGTGAGTGGGTGAGTGGGGGAGTGAGTGAGTGGGTGAGTGAGTGGGTGGGTGAGTGGGTGGGTGAGTGAGTGGGTGGGTGAGTGGGTGGGGGAGTGGGTGAGTGAGTGAGTGAGTGGGTGGGTAAGTGGATGAGTGGGTGAGTGGGTGAGTGAGGGGGGTGAGTGAGTGGGTGAGTGGGTGGGTGAGTGAGGGGGTGGGTGGGTGGGTGAGTGAGTAGGTGGGTGGGTGGGTGGGTGAGTGAGGGGGTGGGTGGGTGGGTGAGTGGGGGGTGGGTGGGGGGGTGGGTGGGTGGGGGGGGTGGGTGGGTGGGTGGGTGGGTGGGGGGTGGGTGAGAGAGAGACACACACATCTCTCAACACGCTCATATCGATACAGCTTACACAGAGGTGAGTGGGTGAGTGAGTGAGTGAGTGGGTGAGTGGGTGAGTGGGTAGGTGGGTGAGTGGGTAGGTGGGTGGGTGGGTGGGTGAGTGAGTGGGTGAGTGAGTGAGTGGGTGAGTGGGTGGGTGAGTGGGTGGGTGGGGGAGTGGGTGGGTGAGTGGGTGGGTGGGTGGGTGAGTGAGTGGGTGAGTGGGTGGGTGAGTGGGAGAGTGGGTGGGTGAGTGAGTGGGTGAGTGGGTGGGTGGGTGGGTGAGTGAGTGAGTGAGTGAATGGGTGGGTGGGTGAGTGGGGGGGTGGGTGAGTGGGTGGGTGGGTGGGTGAGTGAGTGGGTGGGTGAGTGAGTGAGTGAATGGGTGGGTGGGTGGGTGGGTGAGTGGGTGAGTGAGTGAGTGAGTGGGTGGGTGGGTGAGTGGGTGGGTGGGTGGGTGAGTGAGTGGGTGGGTGAGTGGGTGGGTGGGTGAGTGAGTGGGTGGGTGGGTGAGTGAGTGGGAGAGTGGGTGGGTGAGTGAGTGGGTGAGTGGGTGAGTGAGTGGGTGGGTGAGTGAGTGGGTGAGTGGGTGGGTGGGTGAGAGAGAGACACACATCTCTCAACACGCTCATATCGATACAGCTTACACAGAGGTGGGTGGGTGAGTGAGTGAGTGAGTGGGTGGGTGGGTGAGTGGGGGGGTGGGTGAGTGGGTGGGTGGGTGAGGGGGTGGGTGGGTGGGTGGGGGGGTGTGTGGGGGGGTGGGGGGGTGAGTGGGTGGGTGAGTGGGTGGGTGAGTGGGTGGGTGAGTGGGTGGGTGGGTGGGTGAGTGGGTGAGTGAGTGAGTGAATGGGTGGGTGAGTGAGTGGGTGAGTGAGTGAGTGAGTGGGTGAGTGAGTGGGTGGGTGGGTGGGTGAGTGAGTGAGTGGGTGAGTGAGTGGGTGGGTGGGTGGGTGAGTGGGGGGGTGGGTGAGTGAGTGGGTGGGTGGGTGGGTGGGTGGGGGGGTGGGTGGGTGAGTGAGTGGGTGGGTGAGTGAGTGGGTGGGTGAGTGAGTGAGTGGGTGGGTGAGTGGGTGGGTGAGTGAGTGAGTGGGTGAGTGGGTGGGTGGGTGGGTGAGTGGGTGAGTGAGTGGGTGAGTGAGTGGGTGGTTGGGTGAGTGAGTGGGTGGGTGAGTGGGTGAGTGGGTGAGTGGGTGGGTGAGTGAGTGGGTGAGTGGGTGGGTGGGTGAGTGAGTGAGTGGGTGAGTGAGTGGGTGAGTGAATGGGTGGGTGGGTGGGTGAGTGAGTGGGTGAGTGGGTGGGTAAGTGGGTGGGTGGGTGAGTGGGGGGGTGAGTGGGGGGGTGGGTGGGTGGGTGGGTGAGTGAGTGGGTGAGTGGGTGGGTGAGTGGGTGGGTGGGTGGGTGAGTGAGTGAGTGGGTGAGTGAGTGAGTGGGTGAGTGAGTGGGTGGGTGAGTGAGTGAGTGGGTGAGTGAGTGAGTGAGTAAGTGAGTGGGTGGGTGAGTGAGTGAGTGGGTGAGTGGGTGAGTGAGTGGGAGGGTGAGTGGGTGAGTGGGTGAGTGAGTGGGTGGGTGGGTGAGTGGGTGAGTGAGTGGGTGGGTGGGTGAGTGAGTAGGTGAGTGAGTGAGTGGGTGAGTGAGTGAGTGGGTGGGTGAGTGGGTGGGTGGGTGAGAGAGAGACACACATCTCTCAACACGCTCATATCGATACAGCTTACACAGAGGTGGGTGGGTGAGTGAGTGAGTGAGTGGGTGGGTGAGTGAGTGGGTGAGTGAGTGAGTGAGTGGGTGAGTGAGTGGGTGGGTGGGTGGGTGAGTGAGTGAGTGGGTGAGTGAGTGGGTGGGTGGGTGGGTGAGTGGGGGGGTGGGTGAGTGAGTGGGTGGGTGGGTGGGTGGGGGGGTGCGTGGGTGAGTGAGTGGGTGGGTGAGTGAGTGGGTGGGTGAGTGAGTGAGTGAGTGGGTGGGTGAGTGGGTGGGTGAGTGAGTGAGTGGGTGAGTGGGTGGGTGGGTGGGTGAGTGGGTGAGTGAGTGGGTGAGTGAGTGGGTGGTTGGGTGAGTGAGTGGGTGGGTGAGTGAGTGAGTGGGTGAGTGGGTGGGTGAGTGAGTGGGTGAGTGGGTGGGTGGGTGAGTGAGTGAGTGGGTGAGTGAGTGAGTGAGTGAATGGGTGGGTGGGTGGGTGAGTGAGTGGGTGAGTGGGTGGGTGGGTGGGTGAGTGGGGGGGTGAGTGGGGGGGTGGGTGGGTGGGTGGGTGAGTGAGTGGGTGAGTGGGTGGGTGAGTGGGTGGGTGGGTGAGTGAGTGAGTGAGTGGGTGGGTGAGTGAGTGAGTGGGTGAGTGAGTGGGTGGGTGAGTGAGTGAGTGGGTGAGTGAGTGAGTGAGTAAGTGAGTGGGTGGGTGAGTGAGTGAGTGGGTGAGTGAGTGAGTGAGTGGGAGGGTGAGTGGGTGAGTGGGTGAGTGAGTGGGTGGGTGGGTGAGTGGGTGAGTGGGTGAGTGAGTGGGTGGGTGGGTGAGTGAGTAGGTGAGTGAGTGAGTGGGTGAGTGAGTGAGTGGGTGGGTGAGTGAGTGAGTGAGTGGGTGAGTGAGTGAGTGGGAGGGTGAGTGAGTGAGTGGGTGAGTGGGTGAGTAAGTGGGTGGGTGAGTGAGTGGGTGAGTGAGTGAGTGAGTGGGAGGGTGAGTGAGTGAGTAGGTGAGTGAGTGAGTGGGTGGGTGAGTGAGTGAGTGGGTGAGTGAGTGAGTGGGTGGGTGTGTGGGTGGGTGAGTGGGAGGGTGAGTGAGTGAGTGGGTGGGTGAGTGAGTGGGTGAGTGGGTGGGTGGGTGGGTGAGTGAGTGAGTGGGTGGGTGGGTGAGTGAGTGGGTGAGTGGGTGGGTGAGTGGGTGGGTGGGTGGGTGAGTGGGTGAGTGAGTGGGTGAGTGAGTGAGTGGTGAGTGAGTGGTGAGTGGTGAGTGAGTGAGTGAGTGGTGAGTGAGTGGTGAGTGAGTGAGTGAGTGGTGAGTGAGTGGTGAGTGAGTGTATGAATGAGTGTATGAGTGAGTGAGTGTATGAGTGAGTGTATGAGTGAGTGTATGAGTGAGTGAGTGTATGAGTGAGTGAGTGAGTGTATGAGTGAGTGGTGAGTGAGTGGTGAGTGAGTCATCTACTCACCAGGTGAGGAACTGGGATGTCCAATACACCACGTGCCAGAACGTGGGTAAGACTCGGTCTGGCACGTACGACCAGGGCTTCTTACACACGGACATGGGGCTGTCAACAACAACAACAACTCTCAACAACAACAACAACTCTCAACAACAACAACTCTCAACAACAACTCTTAACAACAACAACTCTCAACAACAACATCAACAACAACATCAACAACTCTCAACAACAACAACAACAACAACTCTCAACAACAACTCTTAACAACAACTCTCAACAACAACATCAACAACTCTCAACAACAACAACAACATCATCAACAACAACAACTCACAACAACAACATCAACATCATCAACAACAACAACTCACAACATCAACTCTTAACAACAACTCTCAACAACAACAACATCATCAACAACAACTCTCAACAACAACAACAACATCATCAACAACAACAACTCACAACAACAACATCAACAACATCATCAACAACAACAACTCACAACAACAACTCTTAACAACAACTCTCAACAACAACAACATCATCAACAACAACTCTCAACAACAACAACAACATCATCAACAACAACTCTTAACAACAACTCTCAACAACAACAACAACTCTCAACATCATCAACAACAACATCAACAACAACTCTCAACAACAACAACTCTCAACAACAACAACTCTCAACAACAACAACAACTCTCAACATCAACATCAACAACAACTCTCAACAACAACTCTCAACAACAACATCAACAACAACTCTCAACATCAACAACAACAACTCTCAACAACAACTCTCAACAACAACAACTCTCAACAACAACAACTCTCAACATGAAGTGGTAGTGGTGATGGTGGTGATGGTGGTGGTGATGGTGGTGGTGATGGTGGTGGTGGTGATGGTGGTGGTGATGGTGGTGGTGATGGTGGTGGTGGTGGTGGTGATGGTGGTGGTGGTGGTGGTGATGGTGGTGGTGGTGGTGGTGGTGGTGATGGTGGTGATGGTGGTGGTGGTGGTGATGGTGGTGGTGATGGTGGTGGTGATGGTGGTGGTGGTGGTGATGGTGGTGATGGTGGTGGTGATGGTGGTGATGGTGGTGATGATGGTGATGGTGGTGATGGTGGTGGTGGTGGTGGTGATGGTGGTGGTGGTGGTGGTGATGGTGGTGGTGGTGGTGATGGTGGTGGTGGTGATGGTGGTGGTGGTGATGGTGGTGATGGTGGTGGTGGTGATGGTGGTGGTGATGGTGGTAGTGGTAGTGGTGATGGTGGTGTTGATGATGGTGGTGGCGATGGTGGTGGTGGTGATGGTGGTGGTGATGGTGGTGATGGTGGTAGTGGTAGTGGTGATGGTGGTAGTGGTGATGGTGTTGATGATGGTGGTGGTGATGGTGGTGGTGGTGATGGTGGGGGTGGTGATGGTGGTGATGATGGCAGTGATGATCGTGATGGTAGTGTTGATGATGGTGGTGGTGATGGTGTTGGTGGTAGTGGTGGTGATGTAGTGATGGTGGTGATGGTAGTGGTGATGGTGGTGTTGATGATGGTAGTGATGGTGGTGGTGGTAGTGGTGATGGTGGTAGTGGTTGTATCCATCACCTGGCATCAGTAGTCCTGGTGGTGGTAAAACTGTGGTTATCCTTGGTGGTGATGGTGGTGGTGGTGATGGTGGTGGTTGTTGCGTTGACGCCCTGCGGAAGTTTCTGCGAGTTCCGGTAGAGACACTGACGGTAGATGGTCTGTGCACCCACACAGAGAGAGACACAGGAACGGGTAGGAACCAGGGAGCGTCTAAGTTAGTCAGAGAGTCACTCAGCCACCCACTCACTCAGCCACCCACTCAGTCACTCACTCAACCACTCACTCAGTCAATCAGTCACTCACTCACTCACCCACTCACTCACTCACTCACCCACTCACTCACTCACCCACTCACTCACTCACCCACTCACTCACTCACCCACTCAGTCAGTCACTCAACCACTCAGCCACCCACTCACTCAACCACTCACTCAGTCAATCAGTCACTCACTCACCCACTCACTCACTCACTCAGCCACCCAGTCACTCACTCAACCACCCACCCACTCACTCAATCACTCACTCACTCACTCAGTCAATCAGTCACTCACTCACCCACTCACTCACTCACTCAGCCACCCAGTCACTCACTCAGCCACCCACCCACTCACCCACCTACCCACTCACTCACTCAATCACTCACTCACCCACTCACTCAGCCACCCACTCACTCAATCACTCACTCACCCAGTCACTCACTCAGTCACTCAGCCACCCACTCACTCAACCACTCACTCACTCATCCAGCCACTCACTCACTCACTCATCCACCCACTCACTCACTCACCCACTGACTCACCCTGCCACTCACTCACTCACTCAACCACTCACTCACTCATCCAGCCACTCACTCACTCACTCACCCACTCACTCACCCACTCACTCACCCACTGACTCACTCACCCACTTACCCACCCACTCACCCACCCACCCACCCACTCACTCACCCACTCAATCATTCACCCAACCACTCAATCACCCACTCACTCACCCACCCACAAACTCACCCACCCACCCACCCACTCACCCACTCACTCACCCACTCACTCACTCAACCACTCACCCAGGCACTCACTCACCCACCCACTCACCCACCCACTCACCCACTCACTCACTCACCCACTCACTCACCCACTCACTCAATTACTCACTCACCCACTCACTCAATTACTCACCCACCCACTCACTCAATTTAGTCACCCACCCACTCACTCACTCACCCACTCACCCAGCCACTCACCCACTCACTCAATTACTCACCCACCCACTCAATCACCCACTCACTCACCCACTCACTCACTCAATTACTCACCCACCCACTCACTCAATTAACTCACCCACCCACTCACTCACTCACCCACTCACCCACCCACTCACCCAGCCACTCACCCCCTCACTCAATTACTCACCCACTCACTCACTCACTCACCCACTCACCCACCGACTCACCCACTCACTCACTAAACCCACTCACCCACCCACTCACCCACCCACTCAAACACTCACTCACTCACCCACCCACCCACTCACCCACAAACTCACCCACTCACTCACTCACCCACCCACCCACCCACTCACCCACCCACTCACCCACCCACTCAAAAATTCACTCACCCACTCACCCACCCACTCACTCACCCACTCACCCACCCACCAACCCACTCACTCACTCACCCACTCACCCACCCACTCACCCAGCCACTCACCCACTCACTCAATTACTCACCCACCCACTCAATCACCCACCCACTCACCCACTCACTCACCCACCCACTCACTCACCCACTCACCCACTCACTCACCCAGCCAGCCACTCACTCACCCACTCACTCACCCACTCACTCACCCACCCACTCACCCACTCACTCACTCACCCACTCACCCACCCACCCACTCACCCACCCACTCAAAAATTCACTCACCCACTCACCCACCCGCTCACTCACCCACTCACCCACCCACCAACCCACTCACCCACTCACTCACTCACCCACTCACCCACTCACCCACTCACTCACTCACCCACTCACCCACCCACTCACCCAGCCACTCACTCAATTACTCACCCACCCACTCAATCACCCACCCACTCACCCACTCACTCACCCACCCACTCACTCACCAACCCACTCTCCCACCCACTCACTCACCCACTCACCCAGCCACTCACCCACTCACTCAATTACTCACCCACGCACTCACTCACTCACTCACCCAACCACTCACCCACTCACTCACCCACCCACCCACTCACTCACCCACTCACCCACTCACTCACCCAGCCAGCCACTCACTCACCCACTCACTCACCCAGCCAGCCACTCACTCACCCACTCACTCACCCACTCACTCACTCACCCACCCACCCACCCACTCACCCACCCACCCACCCACCCCCTCACCCACCCACCGTAGTGACATCAAGAGGGATGGTGGCGACGATGATGAAACACAGCGTCCATGCCAGTAGAGTTGCGGTCAGCACCACTTTGTGCTGTCTCTTGACGTCGCCGTACTTACAGAGGAGCAGGAAGGCCAGCAGCAGGCAGGCAGGCACCTCGAGGCCCAGAGCCACACCACTCATCCTGCCTACACAGTGGGGGGGTTAGTGGGGGGGTTAGTGGGTGGAGAGTGGGGGGGTGAGTGGGTGGGTGAGTGGGTCAGTGAGTGGGTGAGTGAGTGAGTGGGTGAGTGAGTGAGTGGGTGAGAGAGTGAGTGGGTGAGTGAGTGGGTGGGTGGGTGAGTGGGTGGGTGAGTGGGTGGGTGAGTGAGTGGGTGGGTGAGTGAGTGGGTGGGTGAGTGGGTGGGTGAGTGAGTGGGTGGGTGAGTGAGTGGGTGAGTGAGTGGGTGGGAGCAGGCAGGCAGGCACCTCGAGGCCCAGAGCCACACCACTCATCCTGCCTACACAGTGGGGGGGTTAGTGGGGGGGTTAGTGGGGGGGTGGGTGAGTGGGGGGGTGAGTGGGGGGGTGAGTGGGTGGGTGAGTGGGAGGGTGGGTGGGTGGGTGAGTGAGTGGGTGGGTGAGTGAGTGAGTGGGTGAGTGAGTGGGTGAGTGGGTGGGTGAGTGGGTGAGTGGGTGGGTGAGTGGGTGGGTGAGTGGGTGGGTGAGTGGGTGGGTGAGTGGGTGGGTGAGTGAGTGGGTGGGTGGGTGGGTGAGTGGGTGAGTGGGTGGGTGGGTGGGTGAGTGAGTGAGTGGGGGGGTGGGTGAGTGGGTGGGTGGGTGAGTGGGTGAGTGGGTGAGTGGGTGAGTGGGTGGGTGAGTGAGTGAGATGGTGAGTGAGTGGGTGAGTGGGAGGGTGAGTGGGTGGGTGAGTGGGTGGGTGAGTGAGTGGGTGGGTGAGTGACTGAGTGGGTGGGTGAGTGAGTGGGTGGGAGCAGGCAGGCAGGCACCTCGAGGCCCAGAGCCACACCACTCATCCTGCCTACACAGTGGGGGGGTTAGTGGGGGGGTAAGTGGGGGGGTGGGTGAGTGGGGGGGTGGGTGAGTGGGGGGGTGAGTGGGTGGGTGGGTGAGGGGGTGAGTGGGTGAGTGAGTGGGTGGGTGAGTGAGTGGGTGAGTGAGTGGGTGAGTGGGTGGGTGAGTGGGTGGGTGAGTGGGTGAGTGGGTGGGTGAGTGGGTGGGTGAGTGAGTGGGTGAGTGAGTGGGTGAGTGGGTGGGTGAGTGGGTGGGTGAGTGAGTGGGTGAGTGAGTGAGTGGGTGAGTGGGTGGGTGAGTGGGTGGGTGAGTGAGTGGGTGAGTGAGTGGGTGAGTGGGTGAGTGAGTGAGTAGGTGGGTGAGTGGGTGGGTGAGTGGGTGGGTGAGTGGGTGAGTGGGTGGGTGAGTGAGTGGGTGAGTGAGTGAGTGGGTGAGTGAGTGAGTGGGTGGGTGAGTGGGTGGGTGAGTGGGTGAGTGAGTGGGTGAGTGGGTGGGTGAGTGAGTGGGTGGGAGCAGGCAGGCACCTCGAGGCCCAGAGCCACACCACTCATCCTGCCTACACAGTGGGGGGGTTAGTGGGGGGGTGAGTGGGGGGGTTAGTGGGGGGGTGGGTGAGTGGGGGGGTGAGTGGGTGGGTGGGTGGGTGGGTGAGTGAGTGAGTGGGGGGGTGGGTGAGTGGGTGAGTGAGTGAGTGGGTGAGTGAGTGAGTGGGTGAGTGGGTGAGTGAGTGGGTGAGTGAGTGGGTGAGTGAGTGAGTGGGTGGGTGAGTGAGTGGGTGAGTGGGTGGGTGAGTGAGTGGGTGGGTGGGTGAGTGAGTGAGTGGGTGAGTGAGTGAGTGGGTGAGTGAGTGAGTGGGTGAGTGAGTTGGTGGGTGGGTGGGTGAGTGAGTGGGTGAGTGGGTGGGTGAGTGGGTGGGTGAGTGAGTGGGTGAGTGACTGAGTGGTTGAGTGAGTGTGTGAGTGGGTGGGTGGGTGAGTGAGTGGGTGAGTGGGTGAGTGAGTGGGTGAGTGAGTGAGTGGGTGGGTGAGTGGGTGAGTGTCTGACTGAGTGATTGTCTGAGTGTCTGTGTGAGTGACTGAGTGAGTGTCTGAGTGTCTGAGCGACTGTCTGACTGTCTGAGTGAGTGACTGTCTGACTGAGTGAGTGTCTCAGTGTCTGAGTGACTGTCTGACTGAGTGTATGACTGAGTGAGTGTCTGAGTGTCTTTGTGAGTGTTTGACTGAGTGTCTGACTGAGTGAGTGTCTGACTGAGTCAGTGTCTGAGTGTCTGTGTGAGTGACTGAGTGTCTGAGTGAGTGACTGACTGAGTGTCTGAGTGAGTGTCTGACTGAGTGTCTGAGTGAGTGTCTGAGTGTCTGTGTGAGTGACTGTCTGAGTGAGTGACTGACTGAGTGTCTGAGTGAGTGACTGTCTGAGTGAGTGTCTGACTGAGTGTCTGACTGAGTGTCTGAGCGACTGTCTGACTGGCTGAGTATCTGACTGTCTGACTGTCTGAGTGTCTGAGCGACTGTCTGACTGGCTGAGTGTCTAAGCGACTGTCTGTCTGACTGACTGAGTGTCTGAGTGACTGAGCGTCTGTCTGACTGACTGTCTGAGTGTCTGAGTGACTGTCTGACTGACTGAGTGTCTGAGTGAGTGCCAGACTGAGTGAGTGTCTGACTGAGTGAGTGACTGAATGGGTGTCTGAGTGTCTGTGAGTGAATGACTGTCTGTCTGACTGAGAGTCTGACTGAGTGTCTGAGTGACTGTCTGTCTGACTGAGTGTCTGAGTGTGTGAGTGACTGACTGACTGTCTGACTGAGTGAGTGTCTGACTGAATGTCTGAGTGAGTGTCTGAGTGTCTGTGAGTGACTGACTGAGTGTCTGACTGAGTGTATGACTGAGTGAGGGTCTGAGTGACTGTCTGAGTGACTGTCTGACTGAGCGACTGACTGTCTAAGTGACTGAGTGTCTGAGTGAGTGTCTAACTGTCTGAGTGAGTGACTGACTGAGTGTCTGATTGAGTGTCTGAGTGACTGCCTGACTGAGTGTCTGAGCGACTGTCTGACTGGCTGAGTATCTGACTGACTGAGTGTCTGAGCGACTGTCTGACTGGCTGAGTGTCTGACTGAGTGTCTGAGCGACTGTCTGTCTGACTGACTGTCTGAGTGACTGAGCGTCTGTCTGACTGACTGTCTGAGTGTCTGAGTGACTGTCTGACTGACTGAGTGTCTGAGCGACTGACTGTCTGACTGACTGTCTGAGTGTCTGAGCGACTGTCTGACTGAGTGTCTGACTGAGTGTCTGAGTGACTGTCTGACTGACTGAGTGTCTGACTGAGTGTCTGAGTGACTGTCTGACTGACTGAGTGTCTGACTGAGTGTCTGACTGAGTGTCTGAGTGACTGTCTGACTGACTGAGTGTCTGAGTGACTGTCTGACTGACTGAGTGTCTGACTGACTGTCTGAGTGACTGTCTGAGTGAGTGACTGAGTGTCTGTCTGACTGACTGTCTGACTGACTGTCTGAGTGTCTGAGCGACTGTCTGACTGAGTGTCTGAGTGACTGTCTGACTGAGTGTCTGACTGAGTGTCTGAGTGACTGTCTGACTGAGTGAGTGACTGTCTGTCTGACTGAATGACTGAGCGACTGACTGTCTGACTGACTGTCCGAGTGTCTGAGCGACTGTCTGACTGAGTGTCTAACTGAGTGTCTGAGTGACTGTCTGACTGACTGAGTGTCTGACTGAGTGTCTGAGTGACTGTCTGACTGACTGAGTGTCTGACTGAGTGTCTGACTGAGTGTCTGAGTGACTGTCTGACTGACTGAGTGTCTGAGTGACTGTCTGACTGACTGAGTGTCTGACTGACTGTCTGAGTGACTGTCTGAGTGAGTGACTGAGTGTCTGTCTGACTGACTGTCTGACTGACTGTCTGAGTGTCTGAGCGACTGTCTGACTGAGTGTCTGAGTGACTGTCTGACTGAGTGTCTGACTGAGTGTCTGAGTGACTGTCTGACTGAGTGAGTGACTGTCTGTCTGACTGAATGACTGAGCGACTGACTGTCTGACTGACTGTCTGAGTGTCTGAGCGACTGTCTGACTGAGTGTCTAACTGAGTGTCTGAGTGACTGTCTGACTGACTGAGTGTCTGACTGAGTGTCTGAGTGACTGTCTGACTGACTGAGTGTCTGACTGACTGTCTGAGCGACTGTCTGAGCGACTGTCTGACTGACTGAGTGTCTGACTGGGTGTCTGACTGAGTGTCTGAGTGACTGTCTATCTGAGTGTCTGAGCGACTGTCTGACTGACTGGCTGTCTGACTGACTGTCTACCTGAGTGTCTGAGCGACTGTCTGACTGACTGACCGACCGAGCCAGTAACCCCCCCCCCACCGCCTCACCCCAACAACGAATCTAACAGCTCAACGTTTCGCACCCACCACCAAAAACCCAAGGCAAAACGACGTTTACCCGATTCGTCTGCGTCTTCCTCAAATGAAAAAAAAATATTTTTTTTCCCTTTTTAACTGCCCTCGGCTCCTTTTAAAAAGACAAACGAGCGGAGCTTTTAAGACATAATTAACACGATGTGCAAGTTTTATTTTGTGTTAAAACGTAAAGGAAATTAATTTAATTATTTTCTTAAAACGAAAAAAATTTCTCGACTGAGGTGCCCGAAGCCGGCTGATGAGGGAAAGAGTAGCGGGGAGGAAGTGCCGACGTCACGTCCGGTAATAACAGATCTTAAATCGATTGTAAAATCGATATTAAATTAAAATCGGGCGTGCGTTAGTCGTCATCGTCGTTTATAAGCGATGGTTGGCGCGGGTTAGGCATGTGTTTAAAATTGTTTCGCCACATTTTGTAAAAATGTAGTGAGGTAAGTGTTGACGTCACGTCCGGTAATAACAGATCTTAAATCGATTGTAAAATCGATATTAAATTAAAATCGGGCATGCGTTCCTTGTCGTTTATAAGCGATGGTTGGCGCGGTTATGGATGTGTTTAAAATTGTTTCGCCACATTTTGTAAAAATGTAGTGAGGTAATGGTGACGTCACGTCCGGTAATAAGATCTTAAATCGATTGTAAAATCGATAATAAATTAAAATCGGGCATGCGTTATTCGTCACGGTCGTTTATAAGCGATGTTTGGCGCGGGTTAGAGATGTGTTTAAAATTGTATCGTCACATTTTGTAAAAATGTAGTGAGGTAAGTGATGACGTAACGTCCGGTAATAAGATCTTAAATCGATTGTAAAATCGATAATAAATTAAAATCGGGCATGCGTTAGTCGTCATGGTCGTTTATAAGCGATGTTTGGCGCGGGTTAGAGATGTGTTTAAAATTGTATCGTCACATTTTGTGAAAATGTAGTGAGGTAATGGTGACGTCACGTCCGGTAATAACAGATCTTAAATCGATTGTAAAATCGATATTAAATTAAAATCGGGCATGCGTTAGTCGTCATCGTCGTTTATAAGCGATGGTTGGCGCGGGTTAGGCATGTGTTTAAAATTGTATCGTCACATTTTGTAAAAAATAATTAGGTAAGTGGTGACGTAACGTCCGGTAATAAGATCTTAAATCGATTGTAAAATCGATAATAAATTAAAATCGGGCATGCGTTAGTCGTCATGGTCGTTTATAATCGATGGTTGGCGCGGGTTAGAGATGTGTTTAAAATTGTATCGTCACATTTTGTAAAAATGTAGTGAGGTAATGGTGACGTCACGTCCGGTAATAAGATCTTAAATCGATTGTAAAATCGATATTAAATTAAAATCGGGCGTTCGTTAGTCGTCATCGTCGTTTATAAGCGATGGTTGGCGCGGTTATGGATGTGTTTAAAATTGTTTCGTCACATTTTGTAAAAATTAATTAGGTAATTGGTGACGTAACGTCCGGTAATAAGATCTTAAATCGATTGTAAAATCGATATTAAATTAAAATCGGGCGTTCGTTAGTCGTCATCGTCGTTTATAAGCGATGGTTGGCGCGGTTATGGATGTGTTTAAAATTGTTTCGTCACATTTTGTAAAAATTAATTAGGTAAGTGGTGACGTAACGTCCGGTAATAAGATCTTAAATCGATTGTAAAATCGATAATAAATTGAAATCGGGCATGCGTTAGTCGTCATGGTCGTTTATAATCTATGGTTGGCGGGGTTTAGCGATGTGTTTAAAATTGTATCGCCACATTTTGGAAAAAATGTAATGAGGTATGGTGACGTCACGTCCGGTAATAACAGATCTTAAATCGATTGTAAAATCGATATTAAATTAAAATCGGGCATGCGTTCCTTGTCGTTTATAAGCGATGGTTGGCGCGGTTATGGATGTGTTTAAAATTGTTTCGTCACATTTTGTAAAAATTAATTAGGTAAGTGGTGACGTCACGTCCGGTAATAACAGATCTTAAATCGATTGTAAAATCGATAATAAATTAAAATCGGGCATGCGTTAGTCGTCATGGTCGTTTATAATCGATGGTTGGCGGGGTTTAGCGATGTGTTTAAAATTGTATCGCCACATTTTGGAAAAAATGTAGTGAGGTAATGGTGACGTCACGTCCGGTAATAACAGACCTTAAATCGCTTTTAAAATCGATATTAAATTAAAATCGGGCGTGCGTTAGTCGTCAACGTCGTTTATTAGCGATGCTTTGCTCGGTTTAGGGATGTGTTTAAAATTGTATCGTCACATTTTGTAAAAATGTAGTGAGGTAAGTGTTGACGTCACGTCCGGTAATAACAGATCTTAAATCGATTTTAAAATCGATATTAAATTAAAAGCGGGCGCGCGTTAGTCGTCAACGTCGTTTATTAGCGATGGTTGGCGCGGGTTAGCGATGTGTTTAAAATTGTATCGCCACATTTTAGAAAAAATGTTGAGGTAAGTGGTGACGTCACGTTCGGTAATAACAGATCTTAAATCGATTTTAAAATCGATATTAAATTGAAATCGGGCATTCGTTCGTCGTAACGGGCGTTTATAAGCGATGGTTGGCGCGGATAGAGATGTTTAAAATTGTATAGCCACATTTTGTAAAAATGTAATGGAGTAAGTGGTGACGTCACGTCCGGTAACAACAGCTCTTAAATCGATTTCAAAATTGATATTGAAATAAAATCAGGATGTATTCATCGTCGTTGTCGTTATTCATCGGCGAATGTTATGGTTAGAGATGATTTAAAAATGAATTTCTACATTTAAAAAGAAGCATAAAATTGGAAGTGCCTATGTCACGTCCGGTAATAACAAATCTTAAACATGTTTTTAAAACGGATATTAAATTAATATCGGGGATGTATTAATCGTCGTTGTCTTTATTCATCGTCGACTGCTAGGATAAGAGATGTTTTAAAATTTTATTACGTTAAATTGAAAATGTATTTCATTTTGAAGGCGTCCGAGTTGGTGCATCTGACGTCACATCCGTTGGGATTAAACCTTACAGAAATTTTTAAAACGGTTGTTACATTTAAATCGGGATGTATTGATCGCTATCTTTCTTTATAATCGCGGCTTTGTATATTTCGCTATAGCTTAAAAATATATATAATTTCGGTTCTTACGGTTCGACGTCACATCCGGTGAAAACACAAATGAATTAGATTTTTTTAGAGGTGTATTATGTTAAATTCCGGATGTATTAATCGCTATTGTCGTTAATAATCGCGAGTTTGTAGGGTTAAAGTCGTTTGTAAAAAAATATATTTCGTTACATCTTAAAAACATAATTTCGTTTGTTCTTACGGTTGCACATCACATCCGGTAAAACGGATATTAAATTAAAATCGGGAAGTATTAATCGCTAATTTTGTAATTAGTGGTGATTAGTTTTTTTTTACGTTGTAAAAGTCACCACGTAGAATGAGAATAAAATAATAAATTTATAAAATAAAATAACACAAAAATATTCTCACGACGCGCTGTCCTACCAGACAGTCTCGTCCCCTTCACCTGATGAAGGCCGCTTGTGTTGTGGCCGAAACGTCGTGAGAATATTATTATCGTGTTATTTTATTTTATCAATTTATTATTTTATTCTCATTCTACGTGGTGGTGGTGACTTTACCGAAAGAACCAAAGAAGATTTTTTTTCCCTAATATGCAAAATGGAATCGATTCCCGCTGCTACGTCACTTCCGCCAGGGGCCCAATGGGAGCGCGCCAATCTGGAAGTGACGACAACGGCGACCAAAAGGGGCAAAAAAAAGCGCGGGAAAATATTTGCGATAAGGAAAAATTTGGTGGTGAGGTGGTGGTGGTGAGGTGGTGGTGATGGTGGTGGTGGTGAGGTGGTGGTGGTGAGGTGGTGGTGGTGAGGTGGTGGTGGTGATGGTGGTGGTGGTGAGGTGGTGGTGGTGAGGTGGTGGTGGTGAGGTGGTGGTGGTGAGGTGGTGGTGGTGAGGTGGTGGTGGTGGTGAGGTGGTGGTGAGGTGGTGGTGGTGAGGTGGTGGTGGTGATGGTGGTGGTGGTGAGGTGGTGGTGGTGAGGTGGTGGTGGTGAGGTGGTGGTGGTGAGGTGGTGGTGGTGAGGTGGTGGTGGTGGTGAGGTGGTGGTGAGGTGGTGGTGGTGAGGTGGTGGTGGTGATGGTGGTGGTGGTGAGGTGGTGGTGGTGAGGTGGTGGTGATGGTGGTGGTGGTGAGGTGGTGGTGGTGAGGTGGTGGTGGTGAGGTGGTGGTGGTGAGGTGGTGGTGGTGGTGGTGGTGGTGGTGAGGTGGTGGTGGTGAGGTGGTGGTGGTGATGGTGGTGGTGGTGAGGTGGTGGTGGTGAGGTGGTGGTGGTGGTGGTGAGGTGGTGGTGAGGTGGTGGTGGTGAGGTGGTGGTGAGGTGGTGGTGGTGGTGAGGTGGTGGTGAGGTGGTGGTGGTGAGGTGGTGGTGGTGGTGAGGTGGTGGTGGTGGTGGTGAGGTGGTGGTGGTGGTGGTGGTGGTGATGGTGAGGTGGTGATGGTGGTGATGGTGGTGATGGTGGTGATGGTGGTGGTGGTGATGGTGGTGGTGGTGGAGGTGGTGGTGGTGATGGTGGTGGTGGTGGGAGACACGGTGGAGAGACAGAGAGACAAGGTAGAGAGACAGAGAGACAAGGTAGAGAGACAGAGAGACAAGGTAGAGAGACAGAGAGACAAGGTAGAGAGACAGAGAGACACTGTAGAGAGACAGAGAGACACTGTGGAGAGACAGAGAGACACTGTGGAGAGACAGAGAGACACTGTAGAGAGACAGGGAGACACTGGAGAGACAGAGAGACACTGTGGAGAGACAGAGAGACACTGTGGAGAGACAGAGAGACACTGTGGAGAGACAGGGAGACACTGTAGAGACAGAGAGACACTGTAGAGAGACAGAGAGACACTTGAGAGACAGAGAGACACTGTAGAGAGACAGAGAGACACTGTAGAGAGACAGGGAGACACTGTGGAGAGACAGAGAGACACTGGAGAGACAGAGAGACACTGTAGAGAGACAGAGAGACACTGTAGAGACAGAGAGACACTGTGGAGAGACAGAGAGACACTGTGGAGAGACAGAGAGACACTGTGGAGAGACAGGGAGACACTGTAGAGACAGAGAGACACTGTAGAGAGACAGAGAGACACTGGAGAGAGACAGGGAGACACTGTGGAGAGACAGAGAGACACTGTGGAGAGACAGAGAGACACTGTAGAGAGACAGGGAGACACTGGAGAGACAGAGAGACACTGTGGAGAGACAGAGAGACACTGTGGAGAGACAGAGAGACACTGTGGAGAGACAGGGAGACACTGTAGAGACAGAGAGACACTGTAGAGAGACAGAGAGACACTGTAGAGAGACAGGGAGACACTGTGGAGAGACAGGGAGACACTGTAGAGACAGAGAGACACTGTAGAGAGACAGAGAGACACTTGAGAGACAGAGAGACACTGTAGAGAGACAGAGAGACACTGTAGAGAGACAGGGAGACACTGTGGAGAGACAGAGAGACACTGGAGAGACAGAGAGACACTGTAGAGAGACAGAGAGACACTGTAGAGAGACAGAGAGACACTGTAGAGAGACAGAGAGACACGGTAGAGAGACAGAGAGACACTGTAGAGAGACAGAGAGACACTGTAGAGAGACAGAGAGACACGGTAGAGAGACAGAGAGACACTGTAGAGAGACAGGGAGACACTGTAGAGAGACAGAGAGACACTGGAGAGAGACAGAGAGACACTGTAGAGAGACAGAGAGACACTGTAGAGAGACAGAGAGACACTGGAGAGAGACAGAGAGACACTGTAGAGAGACAGAGAGACACTGTAGAGAGACACTGTAGAGAGACAGAGAGACACGGTAGAGAGACAGAGAGACACTGTAGAGACACTGGAGAGAGACAGAGACACTGTAGAGAGACAGAGAGACACTGTAGAGAGACAGGGAGACACTGTAGAGAGACAGAGAGACACTGTAGAGAGACAGAGAGACACTGTAGAGAGACA